GCATGGGCCCTGCCAATGCATGCATCATGGTGCTAATGGGGCAGGTTCATGCTGTGGAATGCCGATTCTGGGCTCAGGAAACAAGCACAGACTGGTGGGACCGCATAGTGTTGCAAGTCTGGGACGATTCCCAGTGGCTGCGAAACTTTCGCATGCGTAAGGGCACTTTCATGGAACTTTGTGACTTGCTTTCCCTTGCCCTAAAGCGCATGAATACCAAGATGAGAGCAGCCCTCACAGCTGAGAAGCGAGTGGCGATAGCCGTGTGGAAGCTTGCAACGCCAGACAGCTACCGGTCAGTTGGGAATCAATTTGGAGTGGGCAAATCTACTGTGAGGGCTGCTGTGATGCAAGTAGCCCATGCAATCAAAGATCTGCTGATATCAAGGGTAGTGACCCTGGGAAATGTGTAGGTCATAGTGGATGGCTTTGCTGCAATGGGATTCCCTAACTGTGGTGGGGCCATAGACGGAACCCATATCCCTATCTTGGCACCGGAGCACCAAGCTGGCGAGTAAATAAACCGCAAGGGGTACTTTTCGATAGTGCTGCAAGCTCTGGTGGATCACCAGGGACGTTTCACCAACATCAACGTGGGATGGCCGGGAAAGGTACATGACACTCGCATCTTCAGGAACTCTGGTCTGTTTCAAAAGCTGCAGGAAGGGATTTTCTTCCCAGACCAGAAAATAACTGTTGGGGATGTTGAAATGCCTATATGTATCCTTGGGGACCCAGCCTACCCCTTAATGCCATGGCTCATGAAGCCGTACACAGGCAGCCTGGACAGTAGTCAGGAGCTGTTCAACTACAGGCTGAGCAAGTGCAGAATGGTGGTAGAATGTGCATTTGGACGTTTAAAGGCGTGCTGGCGCAGCTTACTGACTCGCTTAGACCTCAGCGAAACCAATATTCCCACTGTTATTACTGCTTGCTGTGTGCTCCACAATATCTGTGAGAGTAAAGGGGAGACGTTTATGGTGGGGTGGGAGGTTGAGGCAAATCGTCTGGCTGCTGGTTACGCGCAGCCAGACACCAGGGCGGTTAGAAGAGCACAGGAGGACGCGGTATGCATCAGAGAAGCTTTGAAAACCAGTTTCATGACTGGCCAGGCTACGGTGTGAAAGTTCTCTTTGTTTCTCCTTGATGAAACCCCCCGCCCCTTCGTTCACTCTACTTCCCTGTAAGCTAACCACCCTCCCCTCCTCCCTTCGATCATTGCTTGCAGAGGCAATAAAGTCATTGTTGCTTCACATTCATGCATTCTTTATTCATTCACCACACAAATAGGGGGATGACTACCAAGGTAGCCCAGGACGGGTGGTGGAGGAGGGAAGGAAAATGCCACACAGCACTTTAAAAGTTTACAACTTTAAAATGTATTGAATGCCAGTCTTCTTTTTTTTGGGCAATCCTCTGTGGTGGAGTGGCTAGTTGGCTGGTGGCCCCCCCACCGCGTTCTTGGGCGTCTGGGTGAGGAGGCTATGGAACTTGAGGAGGAGGGTGGTTGGTTACACAGGGGCTGTAGCAGCAGTCTGTGCTCCAGCTGCCTTTGCTGCAGCTCAGCCATACACTGGAGCATATTGGTTTGATCCTCCAGCAGCCTCAGCATTGAATCCTGCCTCCTCTCATCACGCTGCCGCCACATTTGAGCTTCAGCCCTCTCGTCAGCCCGCCACTTACTCTCTTCAGCCCGCCACCTCTCCTCCCAGTCATTTTGTGCTTTCCTGCACTCTGACATTATTTGCCTCCACGCATTCATCTGTGCTCTGTCAGTGTGGGAGGACAGCATGAGCTCAGAGAACATTTCATCATGAGTGCATTTTTTTTCTTTCTAATCTTCACTAGCCTCTGGGAAGGAGAAGATCCTGTGATCATTGAAACACATGCAGCTGGTGGAGAAAAAAAAGGGACAGCGGTATTTAAAAAGACACATTTTATAAAACAATTGCTACTGTCTTTCAGGGTAAACCTTGCTGTTAACATTACATACATAGCACATGTGCTTTCGTTACAAGGTCACATTTTGCCTCCCCTCACCGTGTGGCTACCCCCTCCCCCCTCCCCGTGGCTAACAGTGGGGAACATTTCTGTTCAGCCACAGGCAAACAGCCCAGCAGGAATGGGCTCCTCTGAGTGTCCCCTGAAGAAAAGCACCCTATTTCAACCAGGTGACCATGAATGATATCTCACTCTCCTGAGGATAACACAGAGAGATAAAGAACGGATGTTGTTTGAACGCCAGCAAACATACACTGCAATTCTTTGTTGTACAATGATTTCCGAGTACGTGTTACTGGCCTGGAGTGGTAAAGTGAAGGACACAATAAGGCTACCCTCCCCAGAAACCTTTTGCAAAGGCTTTGGGAGTACATCCAGGAGAGTCACGAATGCCAGGGGAAAGTAATCCTTTTACATGCTTGCTTTTAAACCATGTATAGTATTTTAAAAGGTACACTCACCGGAGGTCCCTTCTCCACCTGCCGGCTCCAGGAGGCAGCCTTGGGTGGGTTCGGGGGGGGGGGGTACTGGCTCCAGGTCCAGGGTGAGAAACAGTTTCTGGCTGTCGGGAAAACCGGTTTCTCCGCTTGCTTGCTGTGAGCTATCTATAACCTCATCATCATCATCATCTTCTTCGTCCCCAAAACCTGCTTCCGTGTTGCCTCCATCTCCATTGAAGGAGTCAAACAACACGGCTGGGGTAGTGGTGGCTGAACCCCCTAAAATGGCATGCAGCTCATCATAGAAGCGGCATGTTTGGGGCTCTGACCCGGAGCGGCCATTCGCCTCTCTGGTTTTCTGGTAGGCTTGCCTCAGCTCCTTAAGTTTCACGTGGCACTGCTTCGGGTCTCTGTTAGGGCCTGTCCTTCATGCCCTGGGAGATTTTGACAAAGGTTTTGGCATTTTGAAAACTGGAATGGAGTTCTGATAGCACGGATTCCTCTCCCCAAACAGCGATCAGATCCCGTACCTCCCGTTCAGTCCATGCTGGAGCTCTTTTGCGATTCTGGGACTCCATCATGGTCACCTTTGCTGATGAGCTCTGCATGGTCACCTGCAGCTTGCCACGCTGGCCAAACAGGAAATGAGATTCAAAAGTTCACAGTTCTTTTCCTGTCTACCTGGCCAGTGCATCTGAGTTGAGAGTGCTGTCCAGAGCGGTCACAATAGAGCACGCTGGGATAGCTCCCGGAGGCCAATACCGTCGAATTGTGTCCACAGTACCCCAAATTCGACCCGGCAAGGCCGATTTAAGCGCTAATCCACTCGTCAGGGGGTGGAGTAAGGAAATCGATTTTAAGAGCCCTTTAAGTCGAAATAAAGGGCTTCATTGTGTGGACGGGTGCAGGTTTACATCGATTTAACGCTGCTAAATTCGACCTAAAGTCCGAGTGTAGACCAGGGCTTAGCCAACTCCCTAATCCACTCCGTACTTAGATACCAGCACTATGGTGATGACTACTCCTGAAAAATCTAAAATACAGTAGATATATATAATCAATAGTTTCTTGATTTTGATGTTTGAATTTAACTGATGATCTAATCCCAGAAATTTAGAATGGCTTGTAATTCTTTATCATTTTTAGGGATGCAGCATTGAAATCTGACTATTACATAGTGTAAAGCAGTGCTCTCCAATTTTTTTACACCCAAGATCACTTTCTGAATTTAAGGGCAACCCAGGATCTACCCCGCCCCTTCCCTGAGGTCCCTCCTTCCTCAAAGACCTGCCCCACCCACTCTATCCCCCCCCCATCACTGCTCTCCCCCACCCTCACTCACTTTCACTGGGCTTGGATAGGGGGTTGGGTTTTGGGTTCAGGAGGGGGTGTGGGCTCTGGGCTGGGGCTGAGGGGTTTGCAGTGTGGGAGGGGGCTCTGGGCTGAGCCTGGGGCAGGGGGTTGGGGTGGAGGAGTGGGTGAGCGGTGCAGCTCTGGGGAGGAGTTTGGGTGCTCCTGGCTGGAGCAGAGTGTTGGGTTGCAGGAGGGGTACAGGGTCCTGGCTCTGGGAGGGGGGGGTCAGGGCTGAGACAGAGTGTTGGGGTACAGGAGGGGGTAGGGTGCTGGCTCTGGGAGGGGAGTCAGGGCTGGGGCTTGGGGTGCAGGAGGGGGTTCAGGGTTATCCAGGAGGGGGCTCAGGGCTGGGGGTTGGGATGCAACCTCCCACCAGGCAGCACTTACCTCCGGCGACTCCCAGTTGTTGGTGCAGCATGGCTGCCTCTAAGACAGGCTCCCTGCCTACCCCAACCCCATGCCGCACCCAGAAGGGGCCAACACAGCCCTGTGGCCCCGGAGGGACGGGGTGGGCTCCACATGCTGCCCCTCTCTGCAAGCACCTCCCCCGCAGCTCCCATTGGCCACAGCTCCCCATTCCCGGCCAATGGGAGCTGCGGGGGCGGTGCTTGCAGGCAGGAGCAGTGCACGGAGGGAGAATCCTGCCCTGTGCCCGATCCCTGGGGCTTCAGGGTTGCGCTGGCCGCTTCCAGGAGCAGTGTGGGGCCAGGGCAGACAGGGAGCCTGTCTTAGCGGAAGCCCCGCTGTGCCGCCGGAGATCGCAATCGACTGGGAGATCCTCTAGGATTGACCAGTCAGTTGCAATCTACCGGTTAGTGACCCCTGGTGTAGAGGCTGCACTACCCAGGTGAATCACAGGTGCCCTTCTATGGTGATGTTACAGCATATTGCATCAACAGCCCTTCCTGGCCATCTGTTTCCCCCGAGGTTAAAGGGAGGGCTCAGAGCTTTGCTGTGCTTCAGTGATCGCTTTCGGGCCATTACCAGCTCGCATAATTATAACTCTTGGTAAATGAACCAGTCCTCAGCAGCCCTGGGACCTGGAAGAGCACAAAGGTAGCACCTTCTCCCTGTGCCTCCTGTGTTGAGCAAGAGCTCAAGTGGACATGTGGATTGGGACCAATGTTTCCTTCAAGAGACCTCAGTGCGCACACAATGTGAAAAATGGATATATGTATAAACAAACCTTTATTTGGCTCCCTGCAGACTGAAATCATCAGGTACCATGGATACCCCAGTGAGGAATATGAAGTTACAACAGAAGATGGATATATCCTTAGCGTTAACAGAATTCCTGGTGGGAAGAACAGTGGGAACACAGGTATGAGTTATTTGTATGAAGTAAGGAAGGCTTGGTGGCCCAAGTTTCTAAAAAACAGTCCCCTAAATTGCACTCGAGTATATGCAGCTGCAATACAATTTCTGCCCATTTCTTTGCCACCATGAAACATAGTTTTCAACCTTCAAAGATGCTAATAAGGGATATAGACACCATCTTGACCAAAACTTGGCGTAGAACTGATAACCTCCACTGCTAAAAGCATGAGTCTTTAGCTTGTACTAAAGAGCAAGGCTGTGAGCTAACACAGAATTGCATTCTCTGTGGCAGCAGTCTCCAACCTTTTTACGCCCAAGGTCACTTTTTGAATTTAAGGGCAACCCAGGATCTATCCCACCCCTTCCCCTAGGCCCCACCCCTTCCCCAAAGCCCACCCCATCCACTACATCTCCCCCCCTCCCCGTCACTTGCTGTCTCCCACCCTCACTCACTTTCATCAGGCTGGGGTAGGGGGAGGGAGTGTGGGTTCTGGGCTGGGGCCAAGGGGTTTGCAGTGTGGGAGGGGGCTTTGGGCTGAGCCTGGAGCAGAGGGTTGGGGTGCAAAAGCGGGTGAGAGGTGCAAGCTCTGGGAGGGAGTTTGGGTGCAGGAGGGGGCTCCGGGCTGGGGCAGAGTGTTGGGGTGCAGGAGGGGGTACAGTGCTGGGGATTGGGATGCGGCCTCCCACCGGGCAGCATTTACCTCTGGTGGCTCCCAGTTGTGCAGCGTGGCTGCTGCTAAGGCAGACTCCCTGCCTACGCGAGCCCCACACCGCTCCCAGAAGGGACCAACGTACCCCTGTGGCCCTGGGGAGGGGGGAAGTGAGGGTGGGTAGCATGTGGCTCTGTGTGCTGCCCCTCTCTGCAAGCACTGCCCCCCCAGCTCCCATTGGCCACAGCTCCCCGTTCCTGGCCAATGGGAATTGTGGGGGTGATGCTTGCAAGCAGGAGCAGCGCACAGAGGGAGACCCTTTCCCTTGGGGCCGCGCTGGCTGATCGCTCCTGGGAGCAGCATGGGAGCCTGTCTTAGCAGCAGCCCCACTGTGCCGCCGGAGATTGCGATTGCCTGGAAGTTCCTCTAGGATCGACTAGTTAATCACAATCGACCGGTTGGTGATCACTGGTCTATGGATTGGGTCCAGAGAATCACAGAGGACACACTGAGCAATGGGTTACACAAGCAAAGTGTGTGACAACATACACATTTCAGTTGGTGAGTCACACTTTAATTTACAGATTACTCACATTTTCAAGTACAAAGATCTATTTTAAAGAGATCTTTACACTATGTGATTCACATGCAACAATGCCATCCTCCCACATAGATCAGCAGCAGGGTGTGAAGGGCTAGGCCTTCCAATCCCTATTTTAGACTTTTACTGTTGAGCTCCAGCAGTAACTGCCCCCACCTTTTGGAGACTAGCCAGTGAAGGAGGACTTGACACACACTTTCCCAGTGATTTACATAACTGTTTACTAGTCAGCAGTAGCCTCCTGTGTTCTATCCCTGGCTTTGGGAAAAGGTCTGTAGTTTACACAGGTTGGAAAAAAGATAATCCAACCTGGTTTAATCACTCTGAGTGGCAGTGTGATGCAGTTGGGTTTGTCACATTAATTAGAGATCTGGGTTCTAGATCTCCAGACTCCTTCCTAACTGTTTTCTAATATGGGTTTCGTGGCATGGTGTGATAAGGCAGCCCCACCTGGAGTGCCCTTCAGTAATCCAGGTGAGCCTGCCTCAGTTTGTCCTTTCAGATACCCGAAGAACTCCATGACAGGCTCTCTTGCCTCAGTAGCACACCTTCTGGTAGCTGGTTTATTACACAAACAACATGCAATTTCTCTGTAACCAGAAGTTCCAACATAGCTCATTTATAGGAGCCAGCCACTCTGTGACACACAGGAATTTCACCTGCAGTTAAAATAGATGAGATTTGAACCTCAGGTCTCCTCTTGCCCCACTCAAGGACCTTTCACCTAGATTACAGGCATATTTGGGGAGAGGCTCTCACATTTGTTTTAGAGTAGCAGCCGTGTTAGTTTGTATCTGCAAAAAGAAAAGGAGTACTTGTGGTACTTAGAGACTAATACATTGTTGCCCCTCTGTAAGTCACACAAATTTGCCATTCAGATGCCAAAGCTCTAAAATACTCCACAGACAGAAAGTACCGATGTATAACTCCTATTCTTGGAATCTGCACATGAGGAGTCACAATGTGGGCAAAGAACAGATCCCAGAGCTTTAGATTTCTTGCAAAAGGCGTGCAAAAAGTGACACAGTCCAGTAGGAAATTGCCAAAAGAGGCGACCTTTGACCTTATTATTCTTTCTCTATCAATCCACTTTTCATCAAATCAGCATGAAAAACCCAGTCATGCCCCAATTTTATTCTATGTTTTGATTTTTGCCATTTCAATGAGACTTTTACAAAATAAGGTCCTGTTAAAGCAAACTCTGTAACACAACCTTCACTACTGTGGAGCTACTGCCGTACCCTAATAAAATGTTCTTCCTTTTCAGGGCAAAAGCCAGTAGTGTTTTTGCAACATCCAGTCCTAGGAGATGCTACTCACTGGATTTCAAACCTGGACAACAACAGCCTGGGCTTCATGCTAGCAGATGCAGGCTTTGATGTTTGGTTGGGAAACAGCAGAGGGAACACTTGGTCTACAAAACACAAGACACTTAAACCTGACCAACAAAAGTTCTGGGAATTCAGGTAGAGTGAATTATTTAAAACTACTAAAAATGGAACTGGCTGGGTCCTTGGTGACTGGCTGGGCTGGGGGATAGATAATGGGATAGGGGAATCTTTCCCTTTCACATTATTAGCTGATACCTAGCACAGATTGGTAGTGACCCAAAAGTGGGAGGGGGCCTATAATGACAAGCAATATGATAAAAAGACACAGGGCACCCATTGGGGCTGAAGTGCGGGAGAGGAATGGTGGGGAGGGACTGAAGGTGTAAGGGAAGGGTGTGGTTAAAGGGAGGTGGATACTGAAGTGAGTTAGGGGAGGAGGAAGAAAAGGAAGATGAGAAGCATACTGGACAGTGATAGTGAGATTGAGCAGCTGAAGGGCTGCAGTGATAGGAGAGAGTCAGGATAAAGTGGCATGAACAACCAATGGCAATGGAGCAAATGAGAGAAAAAACCACCTATTCAGAGTCAAAGTATCAAAACTGGTATGAGACTGAAGGGTTCTCCTGTCTGTAGCTCCTCATGGGCATGGGGAAAGGCCCATGGCTTGGTGCTTTGGCACATTGCACTAATCTCAGGTCTCCTGAGCTGACATGCTTCTGCCTTGATCTCTGGAGACAGAGCTGCCTTACTTTCTGAAGTGAGGCCAAGAACCCAAACCTCTAAATGGTTTGACTTAGTCATAGAATCATAGAATATCAGGGTTGGAAGGGACCTCAGGAAGTCATCTAGTCCAACCCCCTGCTCAAAGCAGGATCAATCCCCAACTAAATCATCCCAGCCAGGGCTTTGTCAAGCCTGACCTTAAAAATATCTAAGGAAGGAGATTCCACCACCTCCCTAGGTAACGCATTCCAGTGTTTCACCACCCTCCTAGTGAAAAAGTTTTTCCTAATAGCCAACCTAAACCTCCCCCACTGCAACTTGAGACCATTACTCCTTGTCCTGTCATCTTCTATCACTGAGAATAGTCTAGAGCCATCCTCTTTGGAACCACCTCTCAGGTAGTTGAAAGCAGCTATCAAATCCCCCCTCATTCTTCTCTTCTGCAGACTAAACAATCCCAGTTCCCTCAGCCTCTCCTCATAAGTCATGTGTTCCAGACCCCTAATCATTTTTTTTGCCCTTCGCTGGACTCTCTCCAATTTATCCACATCCTTCTTGTAGTGTGGGGCCCAAAACTGGACACAGTACTCCAGATGAGGCCTCACCAATGTCGAATAGAGGGGAACGATCACGTCCCTCAATCTGCTGGCTATGCCCCTACTTATACATCCCAAAATGCCATTGGCCTTCTTGGCAACAAGGGCACACTGTTGACTCATATCCAGCTTACACTGTCACCCCTAGGTCCTTTTCTGCAGAACTGCTGCCTAGCCTTTCAGTCCCTAGTCTGTAGCGGTGCATGGGATTCTTCCGTCCTAAGTGCAGGACCCTGCACTTATCCTTGTTGAACCTCATCAGATTTCTTTTGGCCCAATCCTCCAATTTGTCTAGGTCCCTCTGTATCCTATCCCTGCCCTCCAGCATATCTACCACTCCTCCTAGTTTAGTATCATCCGCAAATTTGCTGAGAGTGCAATCCACACCATCCTCCAGATCATTTATGAAGATATTGAACAAAACCGGCCCCAGGACCGACCCTTGGGGCACTCCACTTGATACCGGCTGCCAACTAGACATGGAGCCATTGATCACTACCCATTGAGCCCGACAATCTAGCCAACTTTCTACCCACCTTATAATGCATTCATCCAGCCCATACTTCTTTAACTTGCTGACAAGAATACAGCAGAGGGAACACTTGGTCTACAAAACACAAGACACTTAAACCTGACCAACAAAAGTTCTGGGAATTCAGGTAGAGTGAATTATTTAAAACTACTAAAAATGGAGTACTAATTATTTAAAACTACTAAAAATGGTCTGTGGGAGACCGTGTCAAAAGCTTTGCTAAAGTCAAGAAACAATACATCCACTGCTTTCCCTTTATCCACAAAACCAGTAATCTCATCATAGAAGGGGATTAGATTAGTCAGGCATGACCTTCCCTTGGTGAATTCATGCTGACTGTTCCTGATCATTTTCCTCTCGTGTAAGTGCTTCAGGATTGATTCTTTGAGGACCTGCTCCATGATTTTTCTGGGGACTGAGGTGAGACTGACTGGCCTGTAGTTCCCAGGATCCTCTTTCTTCCCTTTTTTAAAGATTGGCACTACATTAGCCTTTTTCCAGTCATCCGGGACTTCCCCCGTTCGCCACGAGTTTTCAAAGATAATGGCCAATGGCTCTGCAATCACAGACGCCAATTCCTTTAGCACTCTCGGATGCAACGCGTCCAGCCCCCTGGACTTGTGCACGTCCAGCTTTTCTAAATAGTCCCTAACCACCTCTTTCTCCACAGAGGGCTGGCCACCTACTCCCCATGCTGTGATGCCCAGCGCAGCAGTCTGGGAGCTGACCTTGTTCGTGAAGACAGAGGCAAAAAGAGCATTGAGTACATTAGCTTTTTCCACATCCTCTGTCACTAGGTTGCCTCCCTCGTTCAGTAAGGGGCCCACACTTTCCTTGGCTTTCTTCTTGTTGCCAACATACCTGAAGAAACCCTTCTTGTTACTCTTAACATCTCTTGCTAGCTGCAGCTCCAGGTGCGATTTGGCCCTCCTGATTTCATTCCTACATGCCCGAGCAATATTTTCATACTCTTCCCTGGTCATTTGTCCAATCTTCCACTTCTTGTAAGCTTCTTTTTCATGTTTAAGATCCGCAAGGATTTCACTGTTAAGCCAAGCTGGTCGCCTGCCATATTTACTATCCTTTCGACACATCGGGATGGTTTGTCCCTGTAACCTCAATAGGGATTCTTTGAAATACAGCCAGCTCTCCTGGACTCCTTTCCCATTCATGTTATTCCCCCAGGGGATCTTACCCATCTGTTCCCTGAGGGAGTCGAAGTCTGCTTTCCTGAAGTCCAGGGTCCATATTCTGCTGCTTACCTTTCTTCCCTGTGTCAGGATCCTGAACTCAACCAACTCATGGTCACTGCCTCCCAGATTCCCATCCACTTTTGCTTCCCCCACTAATTCTTCCCGGTTTGTGAGCAGCAGGTCAAGAAAAGCTCCCCCCCAGTTGGTTCCTCCAGCACTTGCACCAGGAAATTGTCCCCTACATTTTCCAAAAACTTCCTGGATTGTCTATGCACTGCTGTATTGCTCTCCCAGCAGATATCAGGAAAATTAAAGTCACCCATGAGAACCAGGGCGTGCGATCTAGTAGCTTCTGCAAGTTGCCGGAAGAAAGCCTCATCCACCTCATCCCCCTGGTCCGGTGGTCTATAGCAGACTCCCACCACTACATCACCCTTGTTGCTCACGCTTCTAAACTTAATCCAGAGACACTCAGGTTTTTCTGCAGTTTCATACCGGAGCTCTGAGCAGTCATACTGCTCCCTTACAAACAATGCAACTCCCCCACCTTTTCTGCCCTGCCTGTCCTTCCTGAACAGCTTATATCCATCCATGACAGTACTCCAGTCATGTGAGTTATCCCACCAAGTCTCTGTTATTCCAATCACGTCATAATTCCTTGACATCACCAGGACCTCCAGTTCTCCCTGCTTGTTTCCAAGGCTTTGTGCATTTGTATATAGGCACTTGAGATAACCTGCTGATCGCCCCCCATTCTCAGTATGAGGTAGGAGCCCTCCCCTCACAGACGTTCCTGCCTGTGCTTCCTCCCGGTATCCTGCTTTCCCACTTACCTCAGGGCTTTGGTCTCCTTCCCCCGGTGAACCTAGTTTAAAGCCCTCCTCACTAGGTTAGCCAGCCTGCTCACAAAGATGCTCTTCCCTCTTTGTTAGGTGGAGCCCGTCTCTGCCCAGCACTCCTCCTTCATGGAACACCATCCCATGGTCAAAGAATCCAAAGCCTTCTCTCCGACACCACCTGCGTAGCCATTCGTTGACTTCCACGATTCAACGGTCCCTACCCCGGCCTTTTCCTTCCACGGGGAGGACATTGAACAGTTTCTGTTTTACTTAGCTAACAAACTTGAGATTTACTAATGTGCATTCTAATGTAGTTGAGACTATGGTAATTAATGCATGTAAGCCTTTTGTGTTTCCTCTCTGTAGTTTTGATGAGATGGGTAAATATGACATTCCAGCAGTTCTCTACTTTGCCATGAATAAAACGGAACAAAAGCAGCTGTACTATGTTGCCCATTCAGAGGGCACAACTTTAGGTAGGTGAAGGAATGCAAGCTGGTATACCATAGCATCCTATTTACATCCCAGCAGGATGTGGACTTCGGTTATTAACTCCCTTTCTCCCTAGCTTAAAAGTTAAAGATAGAAATACTTTCTAAACTGAAATTGTCAACGTTTGGATAACTTTTCTCAGAACAATTTTTGTGTGTCTGAACTAAGTAAACAAATTGGTTCCTGACATCCTTTTAGACTTTCTTGGTAAGGTTTGTTGATATCAAACAATTATTTAGAAGGTGGTCACTGTGAAAGCTTGCCTGGTGTCTTTGGTTATTATAGCTTTGCCAGCTCCTGCAATTTTATCACAAGCCTCACAATATTTGTTGCCATCTCCTGCAGTCAATGCTGTGTGACAAAGTTCCTCCTCTGCCTCAGTGGGTCCTGCGCTTATTGGTGGATTTGCTTGCCTCAGTGATTCACAGCAGCCCTCAGTTTGGCCATTCTTGCTAGTGGCTCAAACCTGCCATCCACTCAGCTAACCTCATCACTGGCCAGCATGGGGGAAACGGAGAACAATCCCCGCAGTTTCTGGGTCCCACCTAGTGGGTCAGGGCGGATCCCTTTCCAGTTTAGACCTTCCCTTCTGGTGTTTCTCACAGACCAGGTTCGACTCCTCCTGTGTCCGATCAGGAGTTGGGGGGATGCGAGGGAACCCAGGCCCACCCTCTACTCTGGGTTCCAGCCCAGGGCCCTGTGGATAGCAGCTGTCCACAATGTTCCCTGTATCAGCTGCGTGACAGCTACAACTTCCTGGGCTACTTCCCCATTGCCTTCCCCCCAGCACCTTCTTTATCCTCACTGCGGTATCTTCCTCCTGAAGCCTGATCACACTTGAACTCTTCACTCCTCCAGCAGCACACCTTCTCACTTTCTGCTCCTGGCACGACCCCCTACTAACTGTTGGGAGGTCCTTTTTAAACCAGGCATCCTGATTAGCCTAACTGCCATAATTGAATCCAGAAAGTTCTTAATTGGCTACAGGTGTCTTGATTAGCTTGCCAGTCTTAATTGGTTCTGGCAGGTTCCTGATTGCTCTAGGGCAGCACCTGCTCTGGTCACTCAGGGAACAGAAAACTGTTCATCCAGTGGCCAATATATTTGCCTTCTACCAGACTCCTGTGTCCTCCGTCCATTCATGCCTCCGGGCGGAGTTCCTCTGGGCGGCGTCCACCGACTCCCTTGACGCCTTTGAGGAGCGGTGGGCGCTGTCCGGGGTTCTCTGCTCGGTGTCCCCGTCCGGTTCCCTTCGTTTGACCCTTTGACCGCACTCCCGTCCCTGTTTTTCATTAGTTGTCCCCCGTAATTAGTTGGCTCTCCAGGCCCTGTGGATCTCCCCCTTAGGCTGGGGGGGGCTCCTTTCGTAGTGGACGAGCTCCGCCCGCCCACTTCCTGGATCCCAATAGGACCAGACTCCTGTGTCCTCCGTCCATTCACGCCTCCGGGCGGAGTTCCTCTGGGCGGCGTCCACCGACTCCCTTGACGCCTTTGAGGAGCGGTGGGCGCTGTCCGGGGTTCTCTGCTCGGTGTCCCCGTCCGGTTCCCTTCGTTTGACCCTTTGACCGCACTCCCGTCCCTGTTTTTCATTAGTTGTCCCCCGTAACTAGTTGGTTCTCCAGGCCCTGTGGATCTCCCCCTTAGGCTGGGGGGGGCTCCTTTGTAGTGGACGAGCTCCGCCCGCCCACGTCCTGGATCCCAATAGGACCAGACTCCTGTGTCCTCCGTCCATTCACGCCTCCGGGCGGAGTTCCTCTGGGCGGCGTCCACCGACTCCCTTGACGCCTTTGAGGAGCGGTGGGCGCTGTCCGGGGTTCTCTGCTCGGTGTCCCCGTCCGGTTCCCTTCATTTGACCCTTTGACCGCACTCCCGTCCCTGTTTTTCATTAGTTGTCCCCCGTAATTAGTTGGCTCTCCAGGCCCTGTGGATCTCCCCTTAGGTTGGGGGCTCCTTTCGTAGTGGACGAGCTCCGCCCGCCACGTCCTGGATCCCAATAGGACCAGACTCCTGTGTCCTCCGTCCATTCATGCCTCCGCGAGTTCTGGGCAGCGTCCACCGACTCCCTTGACTTTGAGAGGGTGCTTCGGTTCTCTGCTCGGTGTCCCCGTCCGGTTCCCTTCGTTTGACCCTTTGACCCACTCCCGTCCCTGTTTTTCATTAGTTGTCCCCGTAATTAGTTGGCTCTCCAGGCCCTGTGGATCTCCCCCTTAGGCTGGGGGCTCTTGTAGTGGACGCCCCCCGCCCACTCCCTGGATCCCAATAGGACCAGACTCCTGTGTCCTCCGTCCATTCATGCCTCCGGGCGAGTTCCTCTGCGGCTCCACCGACTCCCTTGACGCCTTTGAGGAGCGTCCTGTCCGAGTTCTCTGCTCGTGTCCCCGTCCGGTTCCCTTCGTTTGACCCTTTGACCGCACTCCCGTCCCTGTTTTTCATTAGTTGTCCCCCGTAACTAGTTGGTTCTCCAGGCCCTGTGGATCTCCCCCTTAGGCTGGGGGGGGGCTCCTTTGTAGTGGACGAGCTCTGCCCGCCCACTTCCTGGATCCCAATAGACCAGACTCCTGTGTCCTCCGTCCATTCACGCCTCCGGGCGGAGTTCCTCTGGGCGGCGTCCACTGACTCCCTTGACGCCTTTGAGGAGCGGTGGGCGCTGTCCGGAGTTCTCTGCTCAGTGTCCCTGTCCAGTTCCCTTCGTTTGACCCTTTGACCGCACTCCCGTCCCTGTTTTTCATTAGTTGTCCCCCGTAACTAGTTGGCTCTCCAGGCCCTGTGGATCTCCCCCTTAGGCTGGGGGGGGCTCCTTTGTAGTGGACGAGCTCCGCCCGCCCACGTCCTGGATCCCAATAGGACCAGACTCCTGTGTCCTCCGTCCATTCACGCCTCCGGGCGGAGTTCCTCTGGGCGGCGTCCACTGACTCCCTTGATGCCTTTGAGGAGTGGTGGGCGCTGTCCGGAGTTCTCTGCTCGGTGTCCCCGTCCGGTTCCCTTCGTTTGACCCTTTGACCGCACTCCCGTCCCTGTTTTTCATTAGTTGTCCCCCGTAACTAGTTGGCTCTCCAGGCCCTGTGGATCTCCCCCTTAGGCTGGGGGGGATCCTTTTGTAGTGGACGAGCTCCGCCCGCCCACTTCCTGGATCCCAATAGGACCAGACTCCTGTGTCCTCCGTCCATTCACGCCTCCGGGCGGAGTTCCTCTGGGCGTCATCCACTGACTCCCTTGATGCCTTTGAGGAGCAGTGGGCGCTGTCTGGGGTTCTCTGCTCGGTGTCCCCATCCAGTTCCCTTCATTTGACCCTTTGACCGCACTCCCGTCCCTGTTTTTCATTAGTTGTCCCCCGTAACTAGTTGGCTCTCCAGGCCCTGTGGATCTCCCCCTTAGGCTGGGGGGAGCTCCTTTCGTAGTGGACGAGCTCTGCCCGCCCACTTCCTGGATCCCAATAGACCAGACTCCTGTGTCCTCCGTCCATTCACGCCTCCGGGCGGAGTTCCTCTGGGCGTCGTCCACTGACTCCCTTGACGCCTTTGAGGAGCAGTGGGCGCTGTCTGGGGTTCTCTGCTCGGTGTCCCCATCCAGTTCCCTTCATTTGACCCTTTGACCGCACTCCCGTCCCTGTTTTTCATTAGTTGTCCCCCGTAATTATTTGGCTTCCCAGGTCCTGTGGATCCCCCCCTTAGGCTGGCGGGGGTATCCTTTAGTAGTGGACGAGCTTCGCCCGCCCACTTCCTGGATCCCAATAAGACCAGACTCCTGTATCCACCGTCCTTTCACACCTCTGGGCAGAGTTCCTCTGGGCGTCGTCCACTGACTCCCTTGATGCCTTTGAGGAGCAGTGGGCGCTGTCTGGGGTTCTCTGCTCGGTGTCCCCATCCAGTTCCCTTCGTTTGACCCTTTGACCGCACTCCTGTCCCTGTTGTTCATTAGTTGTCCCCCGTAGTTATTTGGTTTTCCAGGTCCTGTGGACCCCCCTCTTAGGCTGGCGGGGGGGATCCTTTAGCAGTGGATCCCAATAAGACCAGACTCCTGTATCCCACTACTCATGTTTTGGAGAGAAGATTAAAAACACAAACTCTTGCAGCTCAAACACCAGAAGACAAATAAAAAGAACCTAAACATTATTTAATTTCAAGCCAATCTTATTATTTTAGTGGGGCCTGATGCAGCATTTTTGTGTGCTTGGTATTGGCTATTCTGCTATTTAAAAACAAATTGCTGGTATTATAGCCACTAAATCAGTATTTACAAATTGTTTACTACATATACCGTGAGTACAGAAAGTCAACTCAGTCCCTAGTGTATGAATACAATGAGGGATTTGATTCATTTGCAGTCACTTGAGGGTTCCTGGTTTACCCATAGGATCTGTTGGTGACAGTGGGATGGGGGATATAGGCTGGTATGCCATGTTGCACCATTGCCATTTGAAAAAAGTGGGGAAAAGACAAAAAATGGTGGTTGGGAGCAGGAAGCCTGTTACCACTTCTTGCATAATATCCTTTTCCCCTTTTTCCTCCTCGAGTCAGAACAGTATTAGGCTCTAAGACAAAAGTGATAAAACATGCATTTAGGCTGGGATTTTCAAAGGCATAAATAGAAGTTAAGCACCCATCTCCGCTAGGCACCTTTGAAAATCCCAGCCTTAGAATACAAATAGTACCATATATCTTCTATACATAGGCATTGTTAAGGCCATTTTAATTGCTTCTTAAAACGCTGTGCAATTACTCACAGTACAGTGTATTTCTTTTTTCTCTGAACATTTGCCTGCCCTTGTGAATTTAAGTCACAGTTTTAATAGTCTTTTAAATATAGTTTTGAATGTGAACAATTAATTTACAACCCTATAAATAGTGCTTTAGAAACTGGGCATCATAAAACTCAGAAAATATTTTATGGGAATTTTGGAAACTTGATAGGAAAGATTCTGGAATCATCAAGAAATCTGGTTAATAGAAAATTTGGTTCTACACCAAAACAAGTTGAAACTATAATCTGACTCTTGGCCACCTGAATCCATCTGAACAATACCCCAAAACTTAATTTTTCCCAATGAAGACTAAATGGAGATTTAGGATGAACATTTTGCTGTGATAATATGGAATCATAGGGCTGTAAGGGACCTCGACAAGTCATCAAGTACAGCCCCCTGTACTTGAGGCAGGACCAAGTAAACCTAGATCATCCCTGACAGTTATTTGTTAAACCAGTTCTTATGAACCTCCAATGATGGGGATTTCTCAAGCTCCTTTGGAAGCCTATTCCAGAGTTCAACAACTCTTATAGTTAGGAATTTTTTCCTAATCTCAAACCTAAATCTCCCTTGCTTCAGATTCATTACTTTTTGTCCTACTTCAGTGAGCATGGAGAACAATTATATAGCATTTGAATAGATAAAAGGCTACTTATACATTTTAACCTTCAGTTTGCTGCATGGTAACTATTTATTTTAATTATGGATGATTTCTTTGCAATAATACAAAATAATTTGTATTTTCTTAGGTTTCATAGCATTTTCCATTAGGCCAGACTTGGCTCAAAGAATAAAAATGTTCTTTGCCTTGGGGCCGGTAGCCACAATTACATTTGCCAAAAGCCCTCTGGTAAAGTTTGTGAGTCTTCCTGAAACACTGCTCAAGGTATGTCATTCCTCCACCTATAGGGCCAGATTGTTGGCTTCAACTCCACCTGATCTGCTCTGCCTAAAAGCAGAGGGGAATCCTTGGGTGGTGCAGAGCTGCTGTGTACCCCGTACTCCCTTTCTACTGGGGGGCATGTCAGGGGCTAAAAGAGTTAGGTGGGACTGGGAAGTAAACTCAGCAAAGCTGAGAATCTGGCCCTGAATATTTGATTATTCAGATAGTTCTATGATGGACTTGGAGCTGCTCTATGATGATTTATGAATACTGCATGTTGGCCTAGTTATTGGGGTGTTTTCTGAATGACTATATTTCTTTAACTCAACAAGAGTCTGTGTGGAAAAACAGGAAGGAAAGAAAAGAATGGCTCAAGACAATTCACCCCTCAACAAACACTCAAGAGTTGTTCGGAGACAGTGGCAGTCCTATTGGCTCTAAGGATTTTACTTCGATTGCCTTCTGAGCCTAGAAGAACAAAAGAACTATAGCATGTTTAAAAAGTGACCTTTTCTCAAGAAAGAAGTAATAGGGGAACAAGGACCCTACTGGGACCCTGGAACACAGGACACTGGCCTGCCTACTTACCATCGCAGGATGGCAAGCCTGTACATAAGATAGATATGCTTAGAGACGGTTTTAAAATCATTTTTCTCTAAAAGCCTTATTCTTACTGCAAAATAAATAAATCCTTCTGTCTAATAAGGCTGGTCACTGTACATCACCAATCAAAGACTCCTGAAGGGAAGAATTGCAGGTGCCCAAATCCAGTCAGAACCACTGGATACCCATGGTTGATATGCAGAGGACTGTAGCCCAGAGCCAAGTCTAAGAGTGGGAAAATTGTAAAATTATGTCCCAAGACAGAAAAAAGTCATGAGACCTGAAAGCTGAAGGGTGCACCCAGAGAGACCGGACATGGGACAGAGGTGTAGCTAGTCCTACAGCCATGACAATTTCTTAGAATTCTATTTCCTGTTTATGGAGGCAGGTAAAAGTTACACAGGAACGGCTCCTGGGGCCCCATGAGAACTGCCCCCTTTGGCCAGCATGTACATACATACTAACTCAATGTATACTAGTATTTTATATGCAAAGCAAACCTGAGAATTATCAGATTGGAAGTGATTTCAAAGGAATCACTACCACAACACTGGTGTGGGCTTGAACTATGGACTATCATGGAAGTGCTGGTTGAGGTTCTGTAGTTAAGACTGAGTTGAGATTTAAATTTAAAACCAGCATTCAACCACTTTGCTACAGATGAAGACTGCAGAATATCCTCCTCAAAATGACAGCTCTTGTTTTTTGAGTACAATATGAATTTTCTGAGAATTTAAAAGTAAATCCTTGAATTTTGAGTTTAAAATTAATTTTTTGTCCCAAATGATCTTAATAATAGAATAATGCAGATACTTCAGACTTCCCAGATAGTTAAAAAATCACTGAAATCTCATAACCTCATTGAAGCTGGTGGCTACAGTGTCTCTCTCTCTCCCCCCCCCACCCCCCTTTAAGATGATAGAAACAGTTAAGGTCTGTTGTGAAGTAATTGTGAGCTCTACCCAAAACACATCCAAAGCCACTCAGGAATTTGAACTTGCCAGGTATTGTCTGAATTTGTGAGTGTGAGTGTGTGTGAGAGAGAGAAGCAGAGAAGCACACAGAAACAAATAGAGAAGGAAGCTCCAGACACAGCTTGGACAAGCATAGCATGTAGCCCCAAGAGAAGTCTAGAAAGAGTTTTTGGAGGGGGTTATGGAGAAAAGGGGCTTATGGCTGTGAGCAAGGAGACTATCTTGTGTATCTTGGGTTCTCTTGTGTTCAGAGAAACATAACTTTTTATATTCTTTGTAAATAAACTAGATTGCATCAAAGCCCCTCGACTCTATCATAAATTTCTCCTCCCAAATTTTTGCTAACCACTAGGATCAAAAGGGTTTGTGTGGTCCTTTAAGAAATGTAGCATCTGAGTCAGGTTGCTTTTCTTCCAAATGATCTTAATAACAGAATAATGCAGACTCTTCAGACTTTTCATATAGTTAGAATTATTGAAATCTCCTACACTGGCTACATTTGAAGACCTTTTTTAGTATAATTGGTCATTTTTTGCCATAATACATCATAACTGAAAGTTTCTCCTTTAGCAGAGGCTGACTAATTTTCTACTTCACCGCATGACCTGAAGCTGGGATGTATGTGTGCAGAGGAATGGAGTGGCGGGGGAGGAATAGTGTGGGGGTGTGCATACAGAGGAATGTAGATAACCCAGTGTGGATGAAAATGGCCGTTATGCCCTGGCTGCTTTCTGCTGCTCCAGAAAAAAAGCAGTCAGAGGCTATCAATGAATCTGGCCCTAAATGTTAAAATAAAGATTTAAGGTTGATACTTCATTCTTCAAATTGGTAGAAATGTACATCATAACATTTTCTTTGGTTTTCTTGTGTGTGTTCATGTGTGAAATATTTAACAACTTAAAAACCCAAGGAAATTCCTAGATAAAAACTTGTTAAACTGGAGTTATGTTGAGAGGACATATCAGTAGCTTAAGGTAAAAACATTATAAGGTTGCTGTAATTATCCCATAAACAAGCTTTACAAACTATAAGTCCCATTCCCTCCACCTCCCCACCCCAAAAATAGTACAATGTGTCTTGAAAATCAATATAATCTAATCTGGGAAAACAAACACTATGATGGACGAACCATAAATACATAGTTATTGCATGGCATCACTACATGGCAGAGCAGTTTGTGTGCCTTAAATTTGCATTTCTCTACCTTAACATGTTTGCATTTCTCTAAAGTGTAGCCTGAATTCTGAATTTCCTGGACTTGAAAATCTTGTTTTGGGGATAATTACAACATCTCTGAAATATTTTTACCTTTAAATTATTGCTCTCAGCCTTAACTCCAGTTTAGTATATTTTTTTTCTGTGAATTCTGTCTGATTAATTATATTGTTAGGGCAGAGTAGAGAAGCTTGTATGCTGTATCTGTTCTGTGGCTAAAGAACATCAGACTCCAAGGCTCTCTGTCTCACATGCTCCTTTAGAACTACAGCAATGAGAGGACACAGAGTAAGACTTTGCATATGGTGAGTGTTAGTGGCAATGAAGAAGACTGCTGTATTCTGTAACCAGGCTTACAACCAACTGAAATATATTCTGAAACAGAGGTCATTGACTTGGGAATGGATAGAGAATTTCCTTCATGATTATCACTCAGTAAACTAAGAAAGGTCAGGATTACAACTGAAGTATTACAGGATGTCAGAGGGTTTCATCAAGCTCTGAATACTTAGCTCATATTCAAGAGTAAAGTGGCAACATATCTGTATGAAATGGAACTGTAATGAGACAGCTACTGAATAATTTTCTTTTCAGACTGTATTTGGAACTAAAGGAGTCTTTCATCAGAGTGAACATCTGCAAAAGCCTCTTACCCTATTGTGTACCAAGCTGGATAAGTTTTGTGCATATGTCCTCTCTTTTGTGGCTGGGCATAATGAGCAAAACTTAAATATGGTAAGTATGGACCAGGCTATTTAAAACAAATACTGCTCAAATAATTTCTGAGGTAAATAGCATTTGTGCCCTGTGTGTGTGGCACATAGCTACTTTCATGTGGGGAAATATATGCATAGTACTTGGCTTAACTCAGTGATGTTCTGAGGGAGTAAGAGCTTCTTGGTGACTTTGACCAATGCCAAGGTGGCTTTTAACTAGTGATGGAATCAACCAGAACACTAGGTTCAAACCTTCCAAAGCAGGTGGGGGTGAGAGTCTGAATCCAATCCTGGATCCAGATTTCACAAATGTCTCTATCTGGTTGATACAAGCTTCTGGGTCTGAACACCACTTACCAACTGCAAGGTGTTAAAGATTCAGAGCCAATTTGGCAACAGGGCCATTCTCTAATTTTAACCCATGAATGACGTGCATAATACTTGCTATCTTTTCTTAATCTAAGATTCATTTTACCTTTATCCTGTCTATCCATGGGCTCATTCTTGCCCTCAGACTACATGGCCATGCAGGAGGAGGAGGGGGGAAGAAGCTCTCCATCCCATTCTGCTTGTGTGGCATCTTAGTCTTGCTTGGATCATGTGTGTAAGGCACAAGGGTGAGAAGAAGGTTCTGGGTCTGCATGCCCAATGCTTTCTTCCCTTCATGAGCTAGTGGCTAAGGAGGTGTGTGGAGTGGGTGGAACCATAGTTCCATGCTCCATCCCTGCATATACCAGCCAGCTGAGCTATATGGGGGCAGGGGTAGGGCAAATGTACTGTGCCCTGAAGGAAGCAGGAAGAAACTGTGACTCTCCAAAGTTTACTGTAACTAAACTCATATTAAGAATTAAACATTGTTCTCTTGCCGTAAGGCTAATAATCAGAATTTATCAGACTATAAGAGTGAAGTAGCACTCCATTTCCCAGAGGTACTTCTGACAATTGGAAGCTTGTTTTAGTCTAAATAGATACTGTGGGCCATATCCTGCCATTGATTATTCAGTAGAGCTCTTTGTAGATTTCTGTAGGGGCTTCTGTTCAGAAATGGGTGGTATGGCATGGCCTGAAGTTTGCAAACTGATTTGGATTCACCATCTTTGTCCTCCTTTGCTTTTTGTTAAACTGAGATTAAACAATTAATTAAAGAAGTTTTATCTAATTGTAAGAAAAATATCCAGTTTTTAATCAGTGATAGTATGTCAGATTTTTCTAACAATTGAGAATCATGGTAGTGTCTTAAAGCCAAATTATAAAATAAACCCTACCAAGGTCTGCTCTGACCTAAAACATTTAATAAGTTCAATATAAAAAATTAACCACAGAAAGATGTGATAGCGATTTAAAACAGCCATTTCAGGAAAGGTCTAGCCTTTCTAAATGGTGCAGCTAAACAATTAATGCTTTTTCTGACATTGGGTATATCAGTAATGTGACTCTCAATTCAGAACCAAATTTGATGGAAAATATAAGTTATTGTCTCACAATATTAAGTAATTGTCTTTGAGTGTACTAATATAGCTAGAAAAATATATATGTAAAAATTATTTTTCTTCCTTGTTTGTGGAAAAAGTAAAACACATAGTTAATTAAGTCTTTGTTATTAAATATACATGTATATGGGATTTTTTATGAGGTCAGGCATGTACCTGGTTTGAAAACTCTAGTTTTTATAGTCATTTAAAATTATTTTTATCACAGAAACTGTGTTTATTCAGTAATAGTGACTTCACATAACAGGGACTCCCTCTAGTGGCCAAAATGCCACCTGTAAATTCTTAGCATTAAGCCAATTATTTTGTAGACTTGTTTGTAAGTTCCCTGTTTTTATATCTTAAGGGTAACGTGTTCTAGTCCTTTTTCATGCAATGGTAAAACTGGTGCTTTCTAGCTTTAGAAAGCTGGGAGTGTGGGTTTGCCTTCTTCTGCAGTGTGTGGCATGGGTCACTTGCTGGTATAAATTAGAGTAAATATGGGTGGATTCTCTTGTAACTTGAAGTCTTTAAACCCTGATTTGAGGACTTCAGAAACTCAGCCAGAGGTTATGGGTCTATTACAGGAGTGAGGTGGGTGAGGTTCTGTAGCCAATAACGTGCAGGAGGTCAGACGAGATGATCATGATGGTCCCTTCTGGCCTTAAAGTCTGTGAGTCTGAATCTAACCAAATGGATCCCACGTTGATAACAATTAGTAAATGTTTTCTTTTCAGAGTCGGTTAGCCATGTACATCGGACATTCACCTGCTGGAACATCTGTACAAAATGGCTTACATTGGCGCCAGGTATTTCATGTAGTATAAGTGTACTTGATACTCTGAAACAAAGTCAGGGCTACTGTGCTAGGCGTAGATCCATAAAGGTACGTAGGTGCCTAAGATCCAATGTTAGGCTCCTCTGTGATCCAAAGAACTCCTGCTTAGCTGCTGCCTGACCCTGTCGAAGTCTAAACTCACTCAGCACCTAAATCTTTGGTGTGAAAGTTTCCTATGCATGTATGTTGCTGTCTCTGGGTATGCATGTGGCTTCCTCATTATAGGTGCCCGGATGCCTATCTGCCATGTAGACTACAGAGTAAGCCACAAATGGGGAAGATGTTCACCTACCTGTGTTGCCTGCAGGGCCTGATCCAGTGGACAAGCTCAGAGGCTGCCTGTTGGATCAGGTTCTGTTCCAAAACTGGGTGAAGAGGTAATGCCCACCTTCTAACTCAGTGGTTGGAACATTCACTCGGGCCTGATCGGGGGGAAAGGGTTTAAACAGGAGAGTGCTCTAACAGCTGGGCAATGGGATAGTCTGCTGTGGGTCTCTCTCAGTCTCTCCTGTTGAAGTTCTTCCCATGAAAGTCATTGGAGCAGGGGGAGTAGATCCTCGGTCTCCCACCTCACAGCTGCTTGCTCTAACCACCAGGCTACAGAGTTATTCTCACTCTCTTTGTGCCTGTCTTTAAGTATCAGGGGGTAGCTGTGTTAGTCTGTATCTACAAAAACAACAAGGAGCTGGGGGTGGCTGGCTCATTACAAAAGAAGCTTTGCCACTCCTGGAATTGACACCTCCTCATCTATTATTGGGAGTGGACTACATCCACCCTGATCGAATCGGCCCTGCCAACACTGGTTCTCCACTTGTGGGGTAACTCCCTTCTCTCCATGTGTCATTATATAATGCCTGCACCTGTAATTTTCACTCCATGCATCTGAAGAAATGGTTTTTACCCACGAAAGCTGATGCCCAAATAAATCTCTTAGTCTTTAAGGTGCCCTTGGACTCCTTTGTTCTCTTTAAGTAGTTATCCATAGTGGAACAGTTTCAACAGGAGAGACTGAGGAAGTCCCCATTAGAGAACCCTCCTGAGAGGTAGGAGACCCCATTGAAATGCTCCTGCCCCCTCAGGCAGAGGGGGGAACTGAACCTGGGGTTCCTACATGACAAGTGAGTTCCTATCCAAAGTGAGCACCACCATCTGCTAGGTTTGGTGTGGAACAAAGCAGGCACCTAACATTCTCACAAGAAATGACTCAGACACCTAAGCTTCCTGATTCCAGGCAGTGGCTTCCCAGCTGTGAATCGCAAGCAGAAATAGGCTGGATTTAGGTGTCTATCTCTGAGAGAGGAGTGGGGCTTAGAACCCACCTCTTCCATTGGCTAACTTAGGCGGCTCCCTGGCTAATGTTCTGGCTTTTGTGGATCACATTCTTAGAAGCCTGCTCCTCACATTCCTTGCATAGGAGCAGAAGACGCCTAACTCAGGCTACATGGTTCATGGTGTTGTTCCAGTGATTTTCTAGGAACTTAACAGTTAGGTGTTACATCACCAAAGTTCCTTTGTGGATCCAGGCCTTAGAGACTTGCCCAACTTGTCTTATCACACATTGTCATTTACTTTTGCTAGACAGAGTGTTGTTTATCACAACAATTTTCACAAAAGCCTTAACCCCTTGATATCAGGTACTGAGATTTCTTTATGACACATTATGCACTTAGGAATTGGACAGTCGGGTCAGGAGCTTGCAGGCTTAGTTTTTTATAGTTAAAAACATTTTTATTTGAAAGGTGTATAAGTGAAATAGAGCATATTACATGTAATTTGAAGGTGTTAAGGTCCTAGGTGTCTAATTCTCACTGATTTCAAATATCTGTAAAAATCTGGCCCTAAGTCACTTGTGAAAATGAGACTTGGGGTTCCTAAGTCACTTAGGTGCTTTAACATTTTTTACCCGTGCTCTCACCATTACCTGACCGAGATTGATCGTGTACCAGTTGAAAGTCAGTGGTGCAGGATTCAGCCTATTATGCATAGAAGAAGGCTGGCACATTCTAAAGATTTTGATCTGAAACTGCGAATAAATATCCTTGTTTTCCTCTATTACAAATAATAGAATTTAGGTGTAATGTACTGTGCTCCTTATGTGATCTTTGGCTTTTCATTAAAAATTGATGTCAGCTGGAATGCCATTAATATACATTACCAGAATTTAAACCTTAAACCTAAAATGAAGAGGTAACAACATTGCTGTAGGATCAGACTGATAATTTCTTGAATTTTCTCTTAAAAATGGCAAAATCTTTTAAAACAATCTCCATAAGGTCAGTAAGAACTTAAATGGGTCAGTACAAGGAATTTTGATAAAATCGTGTTACATATCTTGTCTCTCAAATAGAAATACAAATAGTTAGTGACCTTGCCTAATCAAAGAGGCCATGATTCTGCCACCCTTAAGAATCATAGACTTTAAGGTCAGAAGGGACCATTATGATCATCTAGTCTGACCTCCTGCACAACACAGGCCACAGAATCTCACCCACCCACTCCTGTAACAAACCTCTAACCTATGTCTGAGCTATTGAAGTCCTCAAATTGTGATGTAAAGACTTTGAGGTGCAGAGAATCCTCCAGCAAGTGACCCATGCCCCACACTGCAGAGGAAGGCGAAAAACCCCAAGGCCCTTTGCCAATCTGCCCTGGAGGAAAATTCCTTCCTGACCCCAATATGGTGATCAGCTAAACCCTGAGCATGTGGGCAAGACTCACCAGCCAGACACCCAGGAAAGAATTCTCTGTAGTAACTCAGATCCCACCCCATCTAACATCCCATCACAGGTCATTGGGCATATCTACTGCTAATAGTTGAAGATCAATTAATTGCCAAAATTAGGCTATCCCATCATATCATCCCTTCCATAAACTTATCAAGCTTAGTCTTGAAGCCAGATATGTCTTTTGCCCCCACTGCTTCCCTTGGAAGGCTGTTCCAGAACTTCACTCCTTTGATGGTTAGAAACCTTCATCTAATTTCAAGTCTAAACTTCCTGGTGGCCAGTTTATATCCATTTGTTCTTGTGTCCACATTGGTACTGAGCTTAAATAATTCTTCTCCCTCCGTGGTATTTATCCCTCTGATATATTTATAGAGAGCAATCATATCTCCCCTCAGCCTTCTTTTGGGTAGGCTAAACAAGCCAAGCTCTTTGAGTCTCCTTTCATAAGACAGGTTTTCTATTCCTCGGATCATCCTAGTAGCCCTTCTCTGTACCTGCTGAAGTCTGAATTCATCTTTCCTAAAATATGGGAGATCAGAACTGCACACAATATTCCAGATGAGGTCTCACCACTGCCTTGTATAATGGTACTAACACCTCCTTATCTTTTCTGGAAATACCTCGCCTGATGCATCCCAAGACCGCATTAGCTTTTTTCATGGCCACATCATATTGGCGGCTCATAGTCATCCTGTGATCAACCAATAGTCTGAGGTCCTTCTCCTCCCCTGTTACTTCCAAGTGATGCGTCCCCAGTTTATAACAAAAATTCTTGTTATTAATCTCTAAATGCATGACCTTGCACTTTTCACTATTAAATTTCATCCTATTACTATTACTCCAGTTTACAAGGTCATCCAGATCTTCCTGTAGGATATCCTGGTCCTTCTCTGTATTGGCAATACCTCCCAGCTTTGTGCTATCTGCAAACTTTATTAGCACATTACTGCTTTTTGTGCCAAGGTCAGTAATAAAAAGATTAAATAAGATTGGTCCCAAAACCTATCCCTGAGGAACTCCACTAGTAACCTCCTTCCACACCTTTCAGTGTGACCTGTTGTAGTCTCTCCTTTAACCAGTTCCTTATCCACCTTTCAATTTTCATATTGATCCCCATCTTTTCCAATTTAACTAATAATTCCCCATGTGGAATCATATCAAATGCCTTACTGAAATCGAGGTAAATTAGATCCACTGCATTTGTCCAAAAAATGTTACCTTCTCAAAGAAGGAGATCAGGTTGGTTTGACACTATCTACCTTTTGTAAAACCATGTTGTATTTTGTTCCGGTTACCATTGACCTCAATGTCCTTAACTACTTTCTCCTTCAAAAATTTTTCCAAGACCTTGCATACTACAGATGTCAAACTAACAGGCCTGTAGTTACCCGGATCACATTTCCCCCCCCCTTTCTTAAAAATAGGAACTATGTTAGCAATTCTCCAGTCATACAACCCCTGAGTTTACAGATTCATTAAAATTTTTGCTAATGGGCTTGCAATTTCATGTGCCAGTTCCTTTAATATTCTTGGATGAAGATTATCTGGGCCCCCCAGTTTAGTCCCATTAAGCTGTTCAAATTTGGCTTCTACCTTGGATGTGGTAATATCTACCTCCAAATCCTCCTTCCCATTTGTCGTCCTACCATTTTCCCTAAGCTCCTCATTAGCCTCATTAAAAGACTGAGGCAAAGTATTTGTTTAGCTATTGGGCCATGCCTAGATTATACTTAACCTCCACTCCATCCTCAAGGTTTAGCGGTTCCACTTCTTCTTTCTTTGTTTTCTTCTTATTTATATGGCTATAGAACCTTTTACTATTGGTTTTAATTCCCTTTGCAAGGTCCAACTCTACATAGCTTTTGGCCTTGCTCACTTTATCCCTAAGTGTTCTGCTAAGGTATCTTTCCTTGCTAATCCCTCCCATCTTCCACTCCTTGTAGGCTTTCTGCTTTTTCTTAATCACCTCTCTAAGGTGCTTGTGTATCCAGCTCGGTCTACAACTCCTGCCTATGAATTTTTTCCCCTTTCTTGGGATGCAGGCTTCTGACAGTTTCTGCAACTTTGACTTGAAGTAATTCCAAGCCTCCTCCGCCTTTAAATCCAAAAGTTCTTCAGTCCAATCCACTTCCCTTACTAATTCCCTTAATTTTTTAAAGTAAGCTCTTTTGAAATCAAAAACCCTAGTCACAGATCTATTTTTGTTTATCCTTCCATTTAGTTTGAATTGAATTAGCTCATGATCACTCTAACCAAGGTTGTGTCCTACAACTATTGCTTCTATGAGGTCCTCGCTACTCACCAAAACTAAATCTAAAATGGCATCCCCTCTTGTTGGTTCAGCAACTACTTGGTGAAGGAATCCATTTCATTGGGTCATAGTACCTTACTATGACAGGTTTTAGAGGAACAGCCGTGTTAGTCTGTATTCGCAAAAAGAAAAGGAGTACTTGTGGCACCTTAGAGACTAACCAATTTATTTGAGCATGAGCTTTCGTGAGCTACATCTGATGAAGTGAGCTGTAGCTCACGAAAGCTCATGCTCAAATAAATTGGTTAGTCTCTAAGGTGCCACAAGTACTCCTTTTCTTTTTGCGAGTACCTTACTATGTGAGTAGTCTCCTTGATTTCAACTGAGCCCAGAATAGTCAAGCAATTATCACAAATGGCTGGTTCACTACCCTTAGGATAAAAATTGTTTTCCTGCATTCTTTCTAGATTAAGATGCAAAATATGCCCCTCTGTGGGGGACAGCAGCTGTAACTTCCTACATGATTATAGGATGCTTAGAACCAAGGGCCTCTGACCTGGCTAGCCTCTAGGCACTACTCCAATATAAATGTTAATATACCAATTGCATCTAACGACCTGAAAATAGCCAAGACTGGTAAACACAATGGGCCTGATTCTGATCTCACTTACACTGGGTATAAATCTGGAGTAACGGAAGTCAGTGGAGTTACTCCATATTTACATCAATGGTTCAAATTTCTCTCAGGTGTAACAGCTGAAGTCATTGGAGAGACACAAAGGAGCAATCTGGCCTACTGTTTGGTTCCTTAAAGTCCTTCAATTCAGTATTTATAAGAGATTTCTCAGGTATTTATCAGAGATTTCTGATAGCAGTTGGCTCTTTAATCTAGTGGACAGAGATGTAATATGATCCAATGGCTGGAAACTGAAGAGAAATACACTTAGGTTAGAAATAAAGTACACATTTCTAAAAGTGTGGGTAGTTAACCACCGGAACAGCGTGAGAGCAGCATTTGGCCCAAAGTTTTAACAGGATGAAAGACGCTGTATTCTACTCTCTATCCCCTGAGCTATCCAGACTTTCACTATCATTATAACTTTTTATATTATATAATTAATAGGTATTGTATTCAAAGCAATTGCAAGCTTATGACTATGGCTCTAAGGAAAAGAACATGGAAAAATACAATCAGGTAGGTTAACATACTTTTTGTTGAAAAATGCTGTGAGCTTTGAAGAAAAATAAAAAAAAATTGAGGACTGGAAAGCTCAATATTTAGTACTATAAAGGAAAATTTCTATAAGATGTGCCAATGATACCTTACATCAGTGAGGTTAAAAAGTATATATATAAATAGATTGTGTTCGGATAGTTGTGGGTGAAACTGTGGAGAAAGAGGTGATTTCATGCATATATGTGGACATGTCCAATTATTAAGATACGTAACCAAATATTACAAATGGATGGAGATTTATTACCAGATGATCCTTTGATAATTCTCCTGGGACTTTCCAGTGGGAATGGTCACAGGCAAAGGAATGAATCTTTCACCTGATAGTAGCTGCTAGACTATTGACAGTGTCTAATTGGGAAAGGCAAAATTAGAGGATGTTTCAAAAAACAAAACAAATCCCGGAGATGAGAGGATTATTGTTATGGAGAAATTAGTGCATCAGGTATGCATACAGCAACACTCAAACATACTACATTCACCCACAAAACACCCATCTGATTTGGCAATTCTTTAATAAATGTAATAGACTTGCTTTGGATTGTTAACAAAGAAGACAGAATTGTCTTTCAGTTGAAGGAAATCCCCAGAAGTCACATGCCCTGAGTTGTGTGAGGAGGTTCATCCTCTAAGGCGGTAATACCCTGCCAGCTAAGAGTGTCTTTTGATGCTATCCTTGCATACTGCATCTTTTAACAGAAAGTGAAGAATCCATTTTGTAACAGCTAGTATTTGCATTTTCAGTGTTTTGTGTGGCTGTGGCAATGATATTTCCTAAATATACCATTTAAAACCAAAGCAATGTAAAGCACGCACCCTTTGCTACCAAAGGTCAATTTAAAAGAGATGTGTGTGTGTATACCTACAGGGAGGAATGACAATCCTGTGTTTAAGGCATTGATTCAGACTAAGGAGACCCAAATTCTTTTCCTGGCTCTGTCACCGATTTCCTGTATGATCTTGGGCAATGCACTTAATGTCTCCCTCTACTCCAGTTTCCCATTGGTAAATTGAGATTAATAATAATACTTCCTTGTAGGATTGCTGTGAAGATGAATTCATTAAGGTTTGTGAGGTACTATGAGTACCAAAGAAAAGCCTCTGAATAAAAAAAAGTGGTCTAAAATGTCCCATTTTAATAAGCAATAAGCTGCAACACTCTGGGTTATGGACAAATGGAGCACAAGAAATAAAATGGCTTGTATTTTGCTCAGTGCATCACAGTCCTATAAGATGTGAATAGAATGCTAGGATATATTAAGATGATACAAATATATTTTCTTACAAAACGTGTAACATGAACCAATGTACTTTAACACCTGTATTATAAGCATGGTTATTAATCTTTTGAAATTGATCACTCTAATGTTAAGGTTTACCCCCAATCCAGATATCAAATTGCTGGAGAATTTTCATTCATGTATTATGCAAAAATCCAGGAATAGGGTTGTTGTTGCAATTAACAGGATGAAAAATGGACTAAGAAAGCAGGTTTTATTATTACTATTTTTATTTTAGCAGATTGTGAAAGCAAGAAAGTAGGCCTCTGTCTCTTCAGAATTGGTTTGTTAAAAAATTGGTGTAGCTTTACAGGTTTTCATTTCTAATCCATTTCCCTTTTTGCCAGACTACCCCTCCTATATACAAGCTAGAAGAACTGAAAATGCCCATTGCTATTTGGAGTGGTGGACATGACTTGTTTGCAGACCCAAAGGACGTGGCCGCATTACTTGGTCGAATTACTAATCTCATTTATCACAAGCATTTTCCTGAATGGGAACATCTAGATTTCACCTGGGGTCTTGATGCAGCTAAGCGCATGTATGTGAAAATCATTGAACTGATGAGGAAGCATCCCTGAAGCCACACAGTGGTTCCTGAGGTTGAATGATTTGATCCTTCTATTGTGCTCAGAAATAAGGATGGTTTTTTTTCCTTAAAGTGATTAATCAGGGGATTAGTAAAGGGCTTTATGGTGACTGACTTGTATTTTACTACATTTGTCACTCTACTGTATTTTCCAACCTGGTGAATTTCAATAACTAGGGAACTACCTCAGGAAGCTGAGATACATTTCCAAGAGGAAAGGAGTACTTGTGGCACCTTAGACACTAACCAATTTATCTGAGCATAAGCTTTCATGAGCTACAGCTCACCTCATCGGATGCAACATCCGATGAAGTGCGCTGTAGCTCACGAAAGCTTATGCTCAAATAAATTGGTTAGTTTCTAAGGTGCCACAAGTACTCCTTTTCTTTTTGCGAATACAGACTAACACGGCTGTTACTCTGAAACATTTCCAAGAGGAATCTGTTTAAGACCTACAAAAGAAGTCATGTACATACCCCCTGTTATACCACAGGGGATCACTTTGTTTGAAATGTTTTAATCTCTGCCATATAGTCTATGAGTGGGTGATTCATGACATTCATCCAGTTCCAGACAATAACATTTCTTTCATCACTTTTAAAAAGCATGCTTTTAATGGGAAGCTTTTAAAGAGATTGTCAAAGTGCTTAGGTCAAAAAACAGTTGACTTTGGTGCTTGAGAATGATTCCCTTCATAGCCTCTGGTCAACTCACTCAACTTCTCTTTCAAGTTTCCTATTTTCAAAATAGCCTACCTTGTAGGGATGTAGTGAGGATTAATTTGTTAATGTTTGTAAAGAATTTTAGGGATCAAAAGATTACACGTGCTAAGTTTTATTAGCTCATATTGAAAGATTTATTTCAGCTTTCTGGGTATTCATAAATTTTTCCATCCAATCCACACTGTAGCAAGAGTTATGCTAAAAATTCAGATACTCTATTTCCATGAGCAGCTTTGATGTGGTAATTACTAACCAGTAGGCACAAACTGAAATATGGGTTACTGTTTAGGCTTATTTCAGAGGAACAGCCGTGTTAGTCTGTATTCGCAAAAAGAAAAGGAGTACTTGTGGCACCTTAGAGACTAACCAAAGCTCATGCTCAAATAAATTGGTTAGTCTCTAAGGTGCCACAAGTACTCCTTTTCTTTTTGTTTAGGCTTAGCTAACTACGGGGAGTGAGTTCCTTTAGTCAGTAATGCAGCTGCAAGCAAGCTGTGAGCAGACTCAGCTGTTTACTGCTTTCAAGTGAGTGAAGTTATTGATTCTGTTTTGAGTTCTTTCAGTTAAAAAATTCATATACTTCTGATTTGTTGCCCTGGGTGATTCTTTCAGTGGGTTTAAGGTGCTGAAAAATTAAACTTGTTCCTGCCTGTTCGTACTCCTGTCTTAAAAACATTGTAGGGAGGCTGTGGGGCTTTTTATATTATTAACAGCAAGAAACTGGGCGGTTATGGTATGATTAACTTGGAAAACATGTGACAGGTATATAATCAAGGCAATATATTGTGTGTACTTATGCTTTGAGTTATGATTTGTGATTTAAGACATTTTTGCAATTAATAAATAAAAAACTCAATCATCTCCTGGTGTATGTCCCTGGATTAGCTGTGCCTGTATTAAATGTTCGATCTAATATAAGAATGCAAGTTCTCTTACTGTATATCCAATAGTTTCTGGACTGGTGGGGATGAGGAGGGATGTTCTATCAATAGGGATATCTCAGCCTCAACCAGAGTTAGATGTTTAAAAAAGCCTGGATTACTGTTATGACATTAAACAGTTTAATTGTCATTTTATCCTCATGATTTTGAAGCCAATCTCATGCCCCTTTGGGTGTCTAACTTGAGAGTTTTGAACATGCAGAGGTGGCAATAGTGAAAACAACATCCCATAAGTGCGATTTTTAAATGAAATGACTATGGAAAGGGACAGATATTTTTCATTTTAAGATTTTTGTTGGGTGGTTGTTTTTACCAAAGATGAGTGAAGGGGAGACACACAGAGGATACAGCAGCCAGAAGTAAAATTAACCCCTCCACATGTATTGCAAACACAGAACAAAATAGTCACAAACCAAAAAATTATAGGTTTCAGAGGAACAGCCGTGTTAGTCTGTATTCGCAAAAAGAAAAGGAGTACTTGTGGCACCTTAGAGACTAACCAATTTATTTGAGCATGAGCTTTCGTGAGCTACAGCTCACTTTATCAGATGTATAGGCACACTTTTTCTTGAATTTTCACCAGACTTCCAAAATAATAGCAAATATCACCTGCTTTTCTTTCTTTCTTTCTTAGAAATGGTATCTGTCTGCCTTTTGGCTGCCTTCTTCACTAGCTCAGCCCCACACCTGTCAGCTCTCATGCAATCATGTTAGGCTGGCAAACATTTTCCTTTCATTTACATTTCTTAGCTGAGGCTTCTAGGCTGCTCTGTGGAAGTTGCTTCTCTTAAGCCTCCTAGATGGCTATCATATCAGGTAGGTATGGACAAAATCTGTATTTAGAGCCTCTGCTCATATGATCACTACAAAAGTTTTTTCTCCTGCTGATAATAGCTCATCTTAACTAATTAGCCTCTCACAGTTGGTATGGTAACTTCCAACTTATCTGTATGTGTGTGTATATAATATCTTACTATGTGTTCCATTCTATGCATCTGATGAAGTGAGTTGTAGCCCATGAAAGCTTATGCTCTTGTCAATTTGTTAGTCTCTAAGGTGCCACAAGTCCTCCTGTTCTTTTTGCGGATACAGACTAAGATGGCTGCTACTCTGAAATCTGCTCCTATAGTAAGGCCCTAACCCATTTTGCTCTGGCCTGCATTTCCAACCTTACTGCATATCACATTCCCCTCTCCAGGCCCCCAGTAATGCCAGCATTCACTCCTATTATGGTCTCCCCTCCCACTACCACCTTGTTTTTCAAGAATGTCCTTTTTCTTAAATGTATGTCAAACAAAATATGATTCCATGCCCTCACTTGAAGGTATAACAGGTATGGCAGGGGAGGAAAGGGATGTGGAAGAACTCCAGTCTGCCATAGCAATCCTCCACTGATTTTTGATTAAGGATCCTAGGCCATGGTGAAATTTGGAGCTGACCAGGACTAGTATTAAGCACCATTGGCACTGACCCAGACCTGAGAACCAGGGAGCTGTATGCCACCCTGCTCCTCCTGCACTGTCTCTCGCTGGCACAGGAGAGAGGCTGTCCCTTTATTTCTTGACTTGGAAGGATTAGATTTCACTTGTTCATTTTCCCCTTCAAAATGCACCAAAGGGACAAAAATGAGAGTTCTATGTTGTTGCGTGTTTGGGGGAGGGACCTTTAAAGGTTCCTTGTGAGATGGATCAGCTACTCCTGCCTCTCCCCCCCAACAGCTGATTCTGATCAAATGGAGATCAGGTGGCAAAACTTAGTTATTGGGGGAGAGCTGGGGCTATCTATTTAGAGCTGGATGAGCACAGTTGGAAGGGAGTCCCAGAGGAGAGGAGTTTCTCCTCTCTGGGAAACAGCCTGAAAGAAGGCTGAGAAATCGACAGCTGAGAAGACAGGACAGGCTATTGCCCAGGAGAACTAGAGGTAGAAGACCAGATAAGCAGCAGCCTGTCTGAACCCCTGAGTGAGGGGAGGAATGTGCCAGCCCCTGGACAGAGGGGTCATTGGAGAAAGACTATAGTAACTGAGGCATGCATATGAGGGAGAGATGGCCTGCTGACCCCAGCCAGGCTGAAGGTTGGATTGTTTTCTTATGTTTGGTTAGACTTTGATAAAAGACTGAAGCCCTGGGAAAGGGCTGGACTCTAAAGTGGTCTGGCCAGAGGGCCAGGTCACTCTTACAACTAGACTGGGCTGAAGGATAGCGTGTGAGACTGAAGTAGAGTTGCTGCATCATTACATCCAGGCATAAGGGGGTGTCCTGGAGTGGCAGCTTTGCTCCACATGTACAGAATGCCTGAAGACTCATGCTCTGGCCTGCCATCATTAGTCAAGAATATTTAGAAAGGAAAAGCTTCAGATGTAATATCTTGGGCTTGCAGACCACTGGTGACAACTGTCTTGTGGTCAAATATATCCAGCAATCTATTAAAAAAAATTATAAAATTTAAATACAATTTTTTTCTGAATCTGTTGTGAATCATGTCTTCTATAGTCATCAGATTTCAAATAAAAATTAACTTTTTAAAATTCCCTGCTAGTGTAAGTAAGGGGATAAATTGGAAAAACAAAACAAAACATGAAAATTATCTAAATCAACAGAATAAAAATAAGACAACTCCTTCCAGGCATACCACATGGCTATGTATTTTATATGCCGTATGTACTGACTGCATACCAGTAAATATAATACAGTACATGACTTCAGCAAACATCAAATATTTTAAAAAACAAAAAAAAAAATGCCTCCAGGGCATTCTTGGTACTGTACAACAGGGAGTGCCCAGATAGGCATGAAAAAAAAATCTACTTAACACTCTTATCATCTCATTAAGGACTAGGATGCCTTCTTTAACACACATTCAATGTTGGTGAACTTTAATCTTCTCGCTATATCCAGTGGAGACTCCCCATTCTGAAAGAAATAGACAAAACATGTTGTGATAATAGTCATGGAAGCAGGTACTTGAGTGTGAGTATGTCTATATTGCAACCAGAGGAGGGGGTGCAGCATGTGTAGAAACATGTGAGGTAGTGTTAATCTATTTAGCACCAATCCCAGGAGTAGTGAAGCTGTATCAGCACAGACTTCGGTACAGATTAGTTCTCTGACTAAATACCCAGAGTCCAGAGCAGCCTCAAGTCTGTACTGATGCAGCTTTGTTGCTATTGGTACTCCCACTAACTAGATTAAAGCTAGCTTGGGTATGTCTACGTGGGCTGCAATCACACCTCGGACTGCAGTGCAGACATACCTGAGAGCCTCATTGGGCAGATCAGCCAGTTTGTGTTTATCTGTATGGTTTGTATTGCCTGATCCAGACCAATAAGAATCCCCAGCACTAAAAGATGTCTCAATTAACTGAGTCTGATCCTGCTCCCCATCAGTCAGTGGGTCAGGGTCTTTATTTCAATCACATCAAAATCCATTCTGTTATTCAACATGGCTGATGTCAGAAGTCAGGGTCGAAGCAATAGTAAATGAAGGAACTGCAGTGTTGTCAAGGTTCTTTCATGTCTCTGGTATGTAGTGAGGAAATTAGTTCTTTCCTTTGACATTTGATTAGAGGTGGATGAGCCTCCTTTGGGAAAGGAAGTTGCCGATTCAGCCCCTTGCACAATAGGTTTTGCCAGTGTAAGGCTCTCAGCAGCCCTGGGGAGGACACCCACATATCTCATTCCACCAGGGGGCCTGCAACCAGCCATCATAACTGGAAGTGGGTGGTGCTGGACTGACAGGGGCATGGGCATGGCGAAGATCCCTAGGAGATGCATTGATTCAATACATCCCCCAAGTAGCCTGCACAGCTCCAACCATGCGCTATTTACAGTTTAAAGCTGCTCTCCCCCCAGGAAGGCAGTGGGGCAAATATTTCTTTCTTCTTCACCAGAAGTGAATCCACTCTTGGGGAGCATTCTCCTGTGCCAGCCACCTGATTTCTGGAAGCTTAGCAGCGCAATGCTCACAGACGCAGCTATTATCTCCTTACCTTATTCTTTATAGAAGGGTCTGCATGGGCTTCAAGTAGTAGAGGGACAACGGACTGATTTTTCATTTCACAGGCATAGTGAAGGGCTGTGTTACCAGACTGAAAGTAAACAGAATCCAGGTAGAGTTTACTTTTACCATGCTTGAAGCAGAAATTTTAGACAGACATTTATCTTTCGTTTCATCAGCCCACCTGCCAATGGTACTTGGATGTTGGAAGTTGTTTTGTGTGTTTCTTGAAAAAGGATGATATGTAGCCATATGTGATACAGGGCAGAAGGCACTTAAAATGTGATGGAGTGACAAGATTGATTGTTTTACTGTTACCAGAGATGGGTCTAAGCCACAAAACAACAATCTAGATACAGGGCCCAGACATCAGTCTCCGCAAAGCTTGAGAATATAGAGATTGAGGGATCTGGTTCAGGCTGCATTGCTATCCTAAAGCACATCTACCTACAAACCAGGCTGCACAACCCTCCCTCCCCTAGCCCCAGCGTAGTACAACTCCTCATCCTCCCCACAACCCCCTAATGCAGAGCAATGCCTAACTGTGTACAGCTTTGCTACAGCAAAGCTTACGCTGCATGCTAGTAAACATAGCTAGGCAGTAGCCGAGGTAGAGGAGAATCACTGCATGTTTGTGTCCAGTCCTGTGAATTTAGGAAGTTGTAGTTGGTGGGGTTTTTTTTTAAACTATTTCTGTATTTAGGAAATTTTAACAGTTTTACAAATCCTAGCCCTGTAAATATCAAGAGACAATACAATAATCATTACAACAATTAGAGAAACATTACACAGTAGTCATTGGATCTCTCTATTTAACAGGGCATTACCATGTTACAGAGTGAGAATCTTTACCCCTGATATGCCATTTCTGTGATTTTTACTAAATTGAGTGGTCATACACTTAACAGACCAGGTATGTCTATCAAATATGAAAATTCAAAAAAATTGGACAGGTATGTTGGTTTTTTCCAGGTGAATGTATTATCTAGACATGTTTACTAGCATCCAAAGTAAGCTTCACAGATTTTAAAAAACTGAGTTGTACAACACGCTGGAAGACCATTCTGGGACCGGTTCTGTTCAATATCTTCATCAATGATTTAGATAATGGCATAGAGAGTACACTTATACAGTTTGCGGGCGATACTAAGCTGGGAGGGATTGCAACTGCTTTCGAGGATAGGATTATAATTCAAAATGATCTAGGCAAACTGAAGAAATGGTCTGAAGTAAATAGGATGAAATTCAATAAAGACAAATACAAAGTACTCCACTTAGGAAGGAACAATCAGTTGCACACACACACAAAATGGGAAATGACTGCCTAGGAAGGAGTACTGCAGAAAGGGTTCTGGGGGTCATAGTGGACCACAAGCTAAATATGAGTCAACAGTGTTACACTGTTGCAAAAAAAGTGAACATAATTCTGGGATGTATTAGCAGGAGGGTTGTAAGCAAGACACGAGAAGTAATTTCTTCTGCTCTACTCTGTGCTGATTAGGCCTCAACTGGAGTATTGTGTCGAGTTCCGGGCACCACATTTCAGGAAAGATGTGGACAAATTGGAGAAAGTTCAGAGAAGAGCAACAAAAATGATTAAAGGTCTAGAAAACATGAGCTATGAGGGAAGATTGAAAAATTCGGTTTGTTTAGTATGGCAAAGAGAAGACTGAGGGGGACATAAGTTTTCAAGTACTGTACATAAAAGGTTGTTACAAGGAGGAGGGAGAAAAATTGTTGCTCTTTACCTTTGAGGATAGGACAAGAAGCAATGGGCTTACATTGCAGCAAGAGAGGTTTAGGTTGGACATTAGGAAAAATTTCCTAACTGTCAGGGTGGTTAAGCCCTGAAATAATTTGCCTGGGGAGGTTGTGGAATCTCCATCATTGGAGATTTTTAAGAGCAGGTTAGACAAACACCTGTCAGGGATAGTCTAGATAATACTTAATCCTGCCATAAGTGCAGGGGACTGGACTAGATGATCTCTTGAGGTCCCTTCCAGTCCTGTGATTCTATAATGATGCAGTTGCAATGCATTAGCTTATGACCATGTTTCCCTCTAAAGGCTGGCCTCAGTGACTATAGCATCTGCTTCCTTAGCTCATTACACAAGAGAAATTATTCCATTCTTGTGAGAGAAGAAGAAGAGAGAGGAATAGAGAAGCATGCCTGCTCCTGCCATACCACATCAGCTTTTGTATAATAGTTAGAGAAGCACCTGGGATTCCCTAGCAAGTAGCCTATGGCCACAATTGAATGTCAAGACCTTTCCTAGACATTATCAATAACTAAGGCTTATGGGACACTATCTGCTCATGCCTTAGTGTTACAGAAACTGGCTGAAGAAAGAGATGGAGCTTTCCCCCCTCTCCTGCTCTATGTGGAGGAAAGAGAAAGAGATTATTTACTGCACCCAGAGACCCTGATGGATGTAGGTGTATACCAGGTAGTCTCTAGATGAGACCAGGAGGGAGAAGGAGCCACCCAGTGCCCTCTGAAGACTAAGAGGTTGTAGGGATCAAATTATCCCCCTCCTCCAGAACAAAAAATGGCAAAATTGGAGTGCCCTTGACCCATAAACTGCACCAGACCAGGTCCATGGATGTTTGTGAAGCCAGGTTGACAGTTCATGTGTAGGACTAGAACCTGAACCTACCCTGACTTTGGATGGATAAAGGGTTCTAGGCCAGCTGTTCATACAGTTGCTCATACCACGACATCACTCAGAATAGTCACAAAGTCTAACCACCCCCAAACTAGGGAGTCAGCTCCTTTCTGGTGCAGTCCACACCTACTGGCAAACTTGATAGTCCCAATTCTACACACACAGAATCCTTCCATCACCTCTGCTGAATTAAAGCATGTTCACTCCACTGAAGGATGATTGGTGACTGAACTCAGGTTTGTTTCCTTTGCCATTTGCACTCCTTTAAGGGTGTTGTGGCAATGTAACACTTCATCATTCCCCAGCATTTGACTAAGACTCTACCACAGCAATAAAGAGGCTGACAGTCAAATGTCACACACCAGGGTAAGGGGAGTGTGTCTAACATTTCACATCTGTTTTAGATGCTGTGTTTGGAGCAATAGTGATTAAGACTCTAGAGGCAAGAACAATAATTGAGTTAAATAAAAGCCAATCTGAGCTGCAAAGGGGGAGAAAACTGTGTACTTTAGAAAATTTCACCCTAAAATTCAAGGGACAACAGTGAGCCACAGTGACAGACAAGCTTAACATATCAAAACAACCTTTTACAGGTTGCTCTTCCTCTGAAGCATCACACTATTTCTAGTAGCTTCTGAAAGGTACTTTTTCTAAATTAACTAAATGAATGTTGTATACACCACACCAATGAGTGACCTCTGTGGCTGTACAAATCCACTTACATAGTCTGTAGCATTAACATCTGTGCCAGCTCGAAGTAACATCTTGATTAGGTTTTCATTCTGTTTAGTTTTTGATACCTGTTAAACACATAGAAAGAAGTCCAACCCAGTTGGAACGTTAATTCAGGTAACACATGTTATTAAGCAGATTTGGGCTAGCTATGGGTATTCTACTCAAAACAATGGAAATGCCCTATTTGTGCAGTACACTTACATGTGACACTACTATCTCAGCAGTATATCAGTTATATTCAGAGCCAAATCCTGAGGTCCTTATACACTTTTACAGTTCTTACTCAGTCCTTAATTTGAATGCAATGCAGGATTGAGCTACAGTACAGGGTCCTGCTTGTAATAGCTAATTTGTGATAGGTAGGTGTCACCGGCTGGCTGGCCCTTTAAGGGGAGTCAAACCCAGCCTTGCCTGTCATGATCAACTACCCTCTCAGTTGACCCTGACTGACTAGGGATCAGATGGGCCTGTTCAATTATTAGATCCAACTGGGACGGGGTCATGAGAGGCTTACAAGAGGTCAGAGAAGTCAATCAAGAGTGGAGTGGTCTGCGAGACTCTAGGAAAATAGTCCTTGGAGTTGCTACTTAATAGAGACCAGAGGAGAAGTAAAGAGAGAGAGATGCCTTCTCCCCTCTTACTCCCAACAGAGGGCCTGAGGTAAGCCTATAAGCTGTAGAAGCCACGTAGGGAGGCTGGGGAGTCAGTCTGCCTATAGGATGTCCTCAGCAGGAGCAGAACTAAGGACCCTGTACCAAAGATATAAGCCATATAGGAAGGCAGAGTGGGAGGTCCTGTGTTTCCTTGTGAACTTGATTAATAAACCCATATTCCAAGAAGGAATATTACTTGACATGTGAAAGCCTACATCAGAGTTATTGGAGAGTCTAAGAAGGAGACAGTGAAACAGTAGCAGTGGAATGCTGTGATGCTTTTAGTAAGGCAAGTAATTCGACACTTGCATGCCTGAGGTGGTCCGAAATGGCTTCCTTCCTGTGGCTTGGCCTTGCGTGTATGCGGCATGTGAGGTCATGCTGTGCAGAGGATACTTTTTTGTTCCACAGTGTATGGTGGGGAGCTGAATGGAATTGGCCTGCAGGCTGCCACTTGGGTCAGGGTTTTTGTGACTTCTGGGACACATGTTATATGCCTTGCGTACACAGATGGTATGCCACTGCTAGGAAGCCAGTGTACCTACAGTGGGTCTCAGGATGGAAAAATGTAAGGTAAGTCTTCCTAGTTTAGTTTGTACTCACCATGATAAGATAGCCAATAAGCAGAACAGGCATTAGGATGATAATAAGCAGGTAGTCAAGGAAACTAAACCGTTTTCTCACAGCATAATGCAAACATGTGCGATCTTTCTAAACAGGGAAGAAACATCTGATTAGCATTAGATGCACAATTATTCCCCTTGTGTATGTCACAGCTTTCTGACTTGTTATATCTGGAGCATTTCTTTTTCATTAATGTTGAAACAGGACACGGGTATCTTGCTCAACTGAGTGAAATACATTTCAGTTGCACAAAGCCACAGTCCCTGAGCTTCACAGGGGCACAGTGTGCATGGGACTGGGGTCTGAAATTGATGTCTCCAGTCCTGGGCCAGGTTAGGGGGAGCATGGGGGAAGAGTGCACTGCAGTTCCCATGTGGCTGTTACTGTAGCCTGTGGGGGAAGAACAGCAAGAATAGCCCCCATTTTTAAGTGTGCCATTAATTGTTAATCTGTGTCATTAGAGATCCCATTGGCTCTCCCCTAGTCACAGGGGGTAATGGGGTAGCTGTGGAGTGAGACTGTGGAGGAGGAGGTAGGAGGGGTTTGGAATAAGCAGCCAAACAGAGCTGCTGCAGAGGCAGGGAGAGCTCCCCATGCCCTCAGAAGGCAAAGAAGCTTCTGGATGGGGTGGGGGAGAGCAGTAAGAGCCTGGCAGTTCTGCTCCCTCTTCCTCGCCTGTGAAAAATGTATTGGTCTGCTCCTCCTCTGTAAAGCTGCAACAGCAAGCCTGGGAAGGGAGAGAAGAGAGCTCCCTTGGAATTGACATCCCTCCTGACCTGCGGGGGGAGAGAGACACAGACAGACATACACACAAAAGTCCCCAGATTTGCCCTCCTGCCAGGCCTGGGAGGGTGTGAAGAGCCTCCAAAACTACAGATGTGGAGTGGGGAGCAAGGCGGGTGAAGAACTGTGGTGTGGCTGGAGTTGATGGGCAGGCTGAGTCACAACATTAATTGCTATGAGGCTACAATGACCAAAAAATCCAGTTTCTCATTTGCTGTCCCATACGCTCTAGGGGGTGAGTGAGTTCAAAACTCTGGAGACTGCTTAAAAAGAACCAATTAAAAATCACAATTTTGGGGTCAATCTCATGGCTCTTTTTTAGGTCTGACTTGGGGGGTTTTTTTGTTTTTTTTTGGTTTTTTTTAAACTTTTGGGGTTGGCAATACTACAATCATTTTCTTCCACTCCCTAATTGTAAAATGTAATCAGATGTCATTAATGAAAAGAGGGGAAATCCTGGGACACTTGGCTATTGCCACTCACCTTGTTTCTGATGTTCACATCCGCTTTCCATTTCAAAAGGAAACTGACTATTCTGTTGTGTCCCTGTCTGCACGCACAGATTAGGGGGGTGTCTCCCCCAAAGCTGTCTTGAATGTTCAAATAATTGCTGTCCTCTTCCAGCAGCAGTTGAATTTGATTGAAGTCATTATCATAAGCTGCCTGGCAAATGGGCTGAGGAAAGGAGGGGAGGAAATGTTAGTGACCCAGGCATTATAGGCCTGAGCCTAGGAGGAGCCAAGTACTTCCCACTAGGTGAAGTGAGAGTCCTGTTAGCTCCCTTTCAAGCAGATGTGAGGTCCCTCAATTCCCACCTTCTGGGAAGCGCTCGGCACTTCACAGGCTCAGGCCCCATGAAAAGAAAGAAAGATTAAGGTCTAACTCCGAGGTGGGCAAACTGTGGCCTGTGGGCCACATCTGGCCCGTGGGACCGTCCTGTCTGGCCCTTGAGCTCCTGGCCAGGGAGACTAACCTCTCCCCTGCAGCCTCAGCTCGCCCTGCTGCCAGCGCTCTGGGCGGCGGGGCTGCAAGCTCCTGCCAGGCAGTGCAGCTGCGAGAGCTGCTAGGGGTGTAATGTATTAAATTGCTCCCCTTAGGAATGTGCTACTTATGAAGCGCCAGGACTGGCAGCTGTAAGTACACCGTAAGTAGCACATTCTTACGGGGAACAATTTAATACACTACACCTGGGTAGGGAAGGCTCTGCCCCCTATCTGCCCCTCGCACTCCCCGCTCCCTGACTGTCCCCCTCTGAACCCCCAACCCATCCAACCCCCCCCCGGCTCCTTGTCCCCTGATGCCCACCCCCCCCCGAACCCCAACCCCTATCCAACCCCCTCTGCCCCCTAACTGCCCCAACCCTATCCACACCCCTGCCCCCTGACAGGTCCCCTGGGACTCCCATGCCTATCCAACCCCCCTTGTTCCCCATCCCCTGACTGCCCCCCGGGACCCTCTGCCCCTTATCAAACACCGCCCCGTGGTGATCTGATGCTTGCAGTGCTATGGTGTCTGTGCGGGCAATCCAGGAAAAAGGGGGCGAAATGATTTGTCTGCAGTTGCTTTCATAGAGGGAGGGAGGGAGGGGTGACTGACGACACGTACCCAGAACCAGCTGCGACAATGTTTTTGCTCCATCAGGCATTGGGAGCTCAACCCAGAATTCCAATGGGCAGCGGAGACTGCGGGAACTGTGGGATAGCTACCCACAGTGCAACACTCTGAAAGTTGACGCTAGCCACGGTACTGTGGAAGCGCTCCGCCGACTTAATGCGCTTAGTGGGGACACGTACAATCGACTGTATAAAATCGCTTCCTAAAAATCGACTTCTATAAAATTGACCTAATTTTGTAGTGTAGATATACCCTAATAGTTCAATCTTGAAAAATGCTGCACCCCAATCCACTAACCCACCTAAACAGGTGCTTACTTTCACATACAGTGAGTAATCCCATTGATCAGAACTCTTGAGTAAGAAGGCACAGTTTTTACATAGTAACTCTTCAGAATAGAGCCACACTTCAGATTAAAATAGAAACTTTTTAAAAAAGAAAACAAGAAAGGATCACTTCACTTCTGCAAATATGGGTCAAGAAGCTTAAATACAAGTAACACAATTTCTTGTCAGGATATATTGGACTTTTCTTTTAGCAATCCCAATACAATGAATCAACCTGAATGTTAGTATTGAAATGATACAAAGTGCACTAGGGAACTTTCAGTGTGCTCCAGCAGGTCTAATGGAACAATTAGTGTGCAACACATTAGTATGCTTCAGAAACATTAGTTTCTGAAGCATACTAATTAGTATGCTTCAGTATCCAGCACGATACGGACCCTGGACTTCAGGAAAGCAGACTTCGACTCCCTCAGGGAACGGATGGCCAGGATCCCCTGGGGGACTAACTTGAAGGGGAAAGGAGTCCAGGAGAGCTGGCTGTATTTCAAGGAATCCCTGTTGAGGTTACAGGGACAAACCATCCCGATGAGTCGAAAGAATAGTAAATATGGCAGGCGACCAGCTTGGCTTAATGGTGAAATCTTAGCGGATCTTAAACATAAAAAAGAAGCTTACAAGAAGTGGAAGGTTGGACATATGACCAGGGAAGAGTATAAAAATATTGCTCGGGCATGTAGGAATGTTATCAGGAGGGCCAAATCGCACCTGGAGCTGCAGCTAGCCAGAGATGTCAAGAGTAACAAGAAGGGTTTCTTCAGGTATGTTGGCAACAAGAAGAAAGCCAAGGAATGTGTGGGCCCCTTACTGAGTGAGGGAGGCAAACTAGTGACAGAGGATGTGGAAAAAGCTAATGTACTCAATGCTTTTTTTGCCTCTGTTTTCACTAACAAGGTTAGCTCCCAGACTGCTACGCTGGGCATCACAAAATGGGGAAGAGATGGACAGCCCTCTGTGGAGATAGAGGTGGTTAGGGACTATTTAGAAAAGCTGGACGTGCACAAGTCCATGGGGCCGGACGAGTTGCATCCGAGAGTGCTGAAGGAACTGGCGGCTGTGATTGCAGAGCCATTGGCCATTATCTTTGAAAACTCGTGGCGAACCGGGGAAGTCCCGGATGACTGGAAAAAGGCTAATGTAGTGCCAATCTTTAAAAAAGGGAAGAAGGAGGATCCTGGGAACTACAGGCCAGTCAGCCTCACTTCAGTCCCTGGAAAAATCATGGAGCAGGTCCTCAAAGAATCAATCCTGAAGCACTTGCATGAGAGGAAGGTGATCAGGAACAGCCAGCATGGATTCACCAAGGGAAGGTCATGCCCGACTAATCTAATCGCCTTCTATGATGAGATTACTGGTTCTGTGGATGAAGGGAAAGCAGTGGATGTATTGTTTCTTGACTTTAGCAAAGCTTTTGACACGGTCTCCCACAGTATTCTTGTCAGCAAGTTAAAGAAGTATGGGCTGGATGAATGCACTACAAGGTGGGTAGAAAGCTGGCTAGATTGTCGGGCTCAACGGGTAGTTATCAATGGCTCCATGTCTAGTTGGCAGCCGGTATCAAGTGGAGTGCCCCAAGGGTCGGTCCTGGGGCCGGTTTTGTTCAATATCTTCATAAATGATCTGGAGGATGGTGTGGATTGCACTCTCAGCAAATTTGCGGATGATACTAAACTGGGAGGAGTGGTAGATACGCTGGAGGGGAGGGATAGGATACAGAAGGACCTAGACAAATTGGAGGATTGGGCCAAAAGAAATCTGATGAGGTTCAATAAGGATAAGTGCAGGGTCCTGCACTTAGGACGGAAGAACCCAATGCACAGCTACAGACTAGGGACCGAATGGCTAGGCAGCAGTTCTGCGGAAAAGGACCTAGGGGTGACAGTGGACGAGAAGCTGGATATGAGTCAACAGTGTGCCCTTGTTGCCAAGAAGGCCAATGGCATTTTGGGATGTATAAGTAGGGGCATAGCGAGCAGATCGAGGGACGTGATCGTTCCCCTCTATTCGACATTGGTGAGGCCTCATCTGGAGTACTGTGTCCAGTTTTGGGCCCCACACTTCAAGAAGGATGTGGATAAATTGGAGAGAGTCCAGCGAAGGGCAACAAAAATGATTAGGGGTCTGGAACACATGAGTTATGAGGAGAGGCTGAGGGAGCTGGGATTGTTTAGCCTGCAGAAGAGAAGAATGAGGGGGGATTTGATAGCTGCTTTCAACTACCTGAAAGGGGGTTCCAAAGAGGATGGCTCTAGACTGTTCTCAATGGTATCAGATGACAGAACGAGGAGTAATGGTCTCAAGCTGCAGTGGGGGAGGTTTAGATTGGATATTAGGAAAAACTTTTTCACTAAGAGGGTGGTGAAACACTGGAATGCGTTACCTAGGGAGGTGGTAGAATCTCCTTCCTTAGAGGTTTTTAAGGTCAGGCTTGACAAAGCCCTGGCTGGGATGATTTAACTGGGAATTGGTCCTGCTTCGAGCAGGGGGTTGGACTAGATGACCTTCTGGGGTCCCTTCCAACCCTTATATTCTATGATTCTAAATCATAACCCTGCAGCATGCATTGCTGCTCTGTGAAGACTTTCCCAGAGAGTACCTAATCTGTGTAGTCCAGAAAAGAGCGGGTCCGAGGTAGGAATTTTCCCAACATCCTTAACCGTGAAGACTTACGTAGAAAAGTCCTTTAGTTTCTCAGCAATGTCCTTGTCTTCCTTAACTGCTCCCTTTATTCAATTGATCCAGTGGACCTAGAAGTTCTGTCACAACCTTCTTCCGTCTGATCTACTTAAAGAATCTCTTTACCCCTTTTTCTGTCTGCTCTTCAAAATCCTTTTAGGCCCTTCTAATTTCCCTACTAATATTGCCTGCTCTAGTTTATGCTACTGTTTATTGCCTTCACTAGGGTCAGATTTAGAAAGATTTCAGCTGGTCTCAAATAGTCTTTCAAAACTTTGCATTTAGCCATAATGTTTTATTCCTTGCTTGCCCTGTTCCTTTTTTTTCAGCAGTTTAACCTGCCTTCTAAGGCTCTATTGTTTTCGTAAGCAGCATCCATGCCACCTCTAGGGATTTTATTTCCTTTATATTTAACTTTATTGCTTCTTTGACTAACATTCTCCTTTTAGTGAAATCTTCCTTTCTAAAGTTGGCCCTTTTTGGTACCCTACCTCCTCTTAGACGCTGAACCTAATTGTGTCATGGCCACTATTATTTAGTGGCTTAACTACTGTCACTTCTTGAATTAGCTCCTGTGTGTTGTTTAAGACTTGCTCAGGATTACATTTTCCTCTTGAATGCTCAAGAGCTAGCTGTCCTAAAAAAATCGTGACTTAGAGAGAGAGTGTTTTTTGCAGACACTGTCCTGTTGTGCCATTTGATTAGTTTAAAACTGGGTGATTGAAGTCCCTCATTTAGAAGAGGACAAATGAGATAAAAGTGACAAATGTATGACTGGGACTTAAACCAAAAAAAGGGGGCTGGTTGGGTTAGAGTGCAGGCTCTGAGGGTCAGGACATGTTCCTGGTACTCTTGCCTGATACCATGTTGCTACATAAAACACTTCAGGCTTATTTAAGGTCCACTTCTACTTTGTCTCGGACCTTGTGAATTTCAGCTGTGGCTGTTTATAGAAAAAGGGTGGAGAGTGCCCTAGATAAGGTATACCATGAGGAAGTAATTTCCCTTGAGTAGGGAGGTCTGTACTGTGACCGATATGAC